TTGATCAGTATATGTATACATAATAAATGAAACTAGCCTTAGTTTGTAATGAACGCTAATTAGGACATTAAAGAAGAGTAAATTTTATTCTTTTTATTTCTATTGGATGCTAGACAGACGGTTTAAAATAGACTATTTCCGAATAGCTTTTAGTTTAGGGCTATATTCTATAAACGTAGGATCTTTCCTTCTTGAGGCGCTTCTTGATTATTTTCCTATACCTCATTTTCTTACTTTATGGCAATCTCTTTTTCTTAATTACAATCGCTTTTATTAATGATTCCCAACTCTCATTATTAGCCTGCAATATGGCATAATCAATAAGTGGCTAGTAATAATTATAAGCTTTTTAATAAGGAAATATAGAAAATTGATAATTATTTAGAATAGAAGGTTATAATTAATTAATTTGTTGTTGATTTTTGATACCTTACAGCTGTTTAATTGTTTGATGCGTTTGTTCAACTTCCCTCTCAATATATCCCTGTAACTTTTTTCACTAATATTTTTTACTGCTTTTCCCTCTGCCACCTATTTTTCCATCTGGACGGCGTACGTTTACAGTTGTATTTAGGAATTGATGCTACCTTCCTTATCTGCTGTATGTCGGTATTATTTTCTCTATCCCTTCTTCTTCATATAAACAGAGCAGTTACTAGAAATAGGATGTGAAAGTCTTAATCAGCGCCTGCTGTAGCCTTTGTAGGAAAGGTTTTTTTATCAATCTCCTTTGATATTTGCTACTACCCTAACAATATCAGTACTAAATTCTCATAAAAAAACACAACTCCTGTTAAAAACATGCTGACCTGTTTCTCTGTAAGAGAAGCGTTTAAAAGCAGAATATATCTACTTTATTGAATTAATTAGTTCGCCAATTAACACACCCTCCGTACTAATTACTAACTAGGGTCGAGATATTTAATTAAATTCCTCTTAGGATGAATAAGAACAATAGTTATTCCGAAATTTCAACAAATGCGTATAAAAATATATTTTAATCTATATGCAGAATATGGCCGGAAGCTTCCTTAAATTAGTCAATTTCATGCTGTAGATGGCGTGAAATTCAATGGAAAATAAAGCAATTCTTTTACTAACAGTTATGGTTAGTATCAAGATAATAAACGATGATAGAGGTTTATTCCTTTATGGAGGGTAGTTAATAAATCGTTCTTTCTGTTGCCGTTGTGCCCTGTTTTAAAAGGGGTTTTCGGTAAAATTACCCTGCTCTATATACATATACATATATCCTGCATAAATATCGTATTAAATTATATTATACTATATTATATAAATATATATATATATTCTTTCTATATATATATAATATCTTTATATATATATATATATATATATATATATATATATACAGTATAGAGAGAGAGAGAGAGAGAGACAGTGGATTAATATACTGTAGATAGAAAATCCTCTCTTCACAATATTTTGATCAAGCTGCAGTTCGTTTCTCTCAATTATAAAGTAATAAAGTGATAAAATTAGAATCAATATATCCACTCTTCAGTCAATGTGAAAAGAATGCCACTTATTAGACTTTTCACTATGGAAATCAAAGCTTAAATTCCTTTTAGGAGGGACAAGGACACTTTTTAGATTTCGAATCAATAGTCAACAAATAAACGCATACAAAATTTATGTAATATGATTTATTACGTGCTCTTTTTAGAGCTTTAGGAATTAGAAACAATCACTTCGATAAATAATTTTATCAGTTTTACCATTTCCATTCCGCTTCTTCTTTTAGTCTCCTTTCTTCGAGCTTTAATTTTAGATTTTTCTTTTTTCTTCAAGAGTAAATTATATAAAGACTTCAGGGTGAAATCATCTATCATGTAAGACGAAGAGAAATATGTTAAAAGAAAAAGAAGGGAGGAGAAAAGAAAAATTGCCTTAGATTTTTTACCCTTATCTTATTGGCAAAAATGATTTTGGTATCAAAAAATTGATCTGGTTCGATATTTGCCTGGAAGATAAATTAAAATAATTAGCCTACTACAACCCTTTCCATTTGCGTAATGACAAAAGTATTCAAGAGAAAATCTTTATTAATCTCTTGGCAATTACTTATTGGGCATTGTTAAAATACCGTATTAAGAAAATAGTCAGATATCTCAGTATATGTATAATCTAGTTGCTCTAAAAGGAGTATATAAATGGAAAACAAAAGAACGAAGACCCTCTTTGCTAAATTCCATTACATAGATCTCGCTGGGGGTTTTCATTCTATTTATTATGAAGAAAGAAGAGCAACAGTATATAAACACTAAATTACGTTTCGAGGATTCTATAAGGTATAGAATTTCTAAACGCCAAACTATGATTAGCTTGAAACGATAGGTAAATTATACTTGATAATAATTGCTTGAAATTATGTATATTTAATTCTTATAAACTGGCAATATTCATAGCAATTAAATAGAAGAAGATGACGTTCTTCATTAATGATTCGTAAGCAATTATCTCCATGATATTGTATTGATGGGTGATGAAGGTTTTTCATCATTACCTAATCTATCTAATCAATCTCTATTAATCAAAATTGCCTACTTTATACACTGACTAATAGAAATGCTCTCCACAAGAAAATCTCCCTCATAAAACAATCTCTTATTGCAAAAAAACAAGCGGCTTAGCCTTACTCTTACTAGTAATGCCATCAAGTTGACAACAAGGAAGTTAACAAAAAAATTTCACTCCACTTATAAGAAAAGGAGGTGGAGCCACTTGTACTTCTTTTAGACATAAAGAAATAATGTTACAAAGAGATTGCTATAAAAGATAAAAAAGAGAAAATAAAAAGAGAACTCACGCCTAAATTTATAAAAATAATATTTGTATATTCTCTTTTTATTCCTTTAAAAAAGGATTTTTTATCAAACGAGACCTATTTAGCGTAAAGGATAGGGAATATATATTTAAATTGAGCAAAGAAAATCATCCCTTAATCTTTTTTCCGTATATTAGATTTATTTAGGAGTTTTTTTCTATAAGTCATCCAACTACTTAATAAAGTAGCTTGTAGAATGGAGCATGTACTTTAAAATAAACTATTCTTTGTTGTATACATTTAGAAGAATATAAACATAAAAGAGGTGTAGATTGCGCGATTTGAATTCAGTATGTTTCATTCATAATCAATCCGGATATTATTAAAAAGGTTCAATAGGTCTAAAAATAAATTCATTTACTCTATCGATATTTTCAGTGGCTTACTCAACCTTCAACCTCACCTGTCAATATTGGCATCATCACTCCTTAGCCTTCCAGAATATACGCAAGATTTTTCATTCGAATAGGAAATAGAGAGAGAGAGATAGAGAGAGATAGAGATAGAGAGAGAGGGAGGGACATCGATTGACTTCATTTAATCATTTTATTAAATCTAAAAAAAAACGATAATTATTGCGATTGTATAGAGAGAAAAAAGGAAAATATAATGTTATTTATAATTACTAACTATCAAAACATTTTCAAACAAACACCCTTTAATTTAGTTTTAAAAGAGAAGGGAAGTTGAAAGGTCATTATACAGGATTAGAATTTAAGAAAAGTAATGAAAGAGAAATGAGACGGGTGGTTAATTTACAATTATACCTTTGACGATTGAATTCATTCAAAAAAGATCTTTTTTCTTCCTATTCTTTAACTAAGTTAAAAACAAATTGTCCCTTTTACAACGATCTAAAATCGTAATCGGCTTTAAAAGTTAAACGCTTTAATTGTTCCCCGGCTTTACCCTATGTTTTTTAGCATCTACCTCAACATAATGAATAACTTGATAATGTTTCTATTCGATCTTTTTCATCTATTCTACTTAAAATCAATCAACCGTTTCCAATTACGTTATATAATTATTCTACAGGAAAAACTTTGAATTCTATTTCCTTGAATAGCTATGTAAAAAAAGATTACTCATAAAAAAAGAGAGAATTCCATTTAAAAGTCTTAAAAGTTTGAATGGGAAAAAAATCAGCGACATTTAATAACAAAAATATTTAATCTATATTTAAAGATGATAAACGTCTTAAAATTTTCATAACAAAGAAATGTTCCACAAAAGCTATAAAAGATAATAATATGTTTTCATAAAGAATTCACTTGTCAACAGAATTTCCATACTAGTCTTTAATAATAAAACTAAATAAAGATCTAATAAAAAAAATTGATTTCAACTATCTTCAACGTCAAAGTCATTCTTAAAGGGTAAGGAAAATTAGTGTAGTAGCGATAAAGAACGATAGAGGGTGAAAAGAGAAAATAGATGGAAGAATGATAACGACAAAACAGTCAGAAGGAGGTAAAGGAGGGGAGGGACGGAGGAGGAGGAGTAACAGGACGAAATGAACAAAAATGAAAGGTTAAAGTTAATTTTACATCATTAAAGTTATATAATGTTATTATCTGTGCATATGACGTTTCTACCTCCCACTTTTGATACTAAGTTCCTTTAATTGTTGAATTACGTAAAAAATTGCACTTAAATCTCAGCATTCGATAGACAGTGTTCGTATAGAAGAGTTTTTGTTTAACAATAGATTAAATACTTAATAGGATAAAAAATAAATAAGTAGAAAGAGAATTTCTATTTACATTTTCCGAGAAAAGAAAGAAAATGTATTAATAAAAATTTTTAATTAAAAGTCTTTCCCTTTGTCTATTCACCAAACTTTTTCGCTACATTAACAGATTGTAAATGATTATGTAATTATTCTAAAAAATAAAGCTGAGAGGTTACGCAACGTAATTCATTTTATAAGTAGCATTAGGAAGTAGGATATAAATTACGGTTAGTTGAATTAGATCTAACAATCTAATATATTTAGAAATTACCAATAATAACAAGAGAAATAATTTCATAATTAATTAAATATTATTAATTAATCATTTAATGAATGGGATAAAGAATTAATCAGTATTAAAAGGCGTACTTTATTCAAGAGATTCTGTTATTAATAAAAAATAAATCTATTATACATTCAGCAGTTTTTTAGCTTTTGTTCCTGAAGATTAATATCGGTATTACCTTTTTTCATATATCAATGCGAAAAATTAACAATAGTCAATGAATATTGAATGAAAATTCGTCATAAAATAGAAGGATTTCTAACCATTCACCTTAACAATGTTTTACCCCTTCTTACATATTCTACCGTGAAAGATAAACAGGTAAGAAAATTCTCTTTTTATTTATATTGATGTTCAATGAAACAACTTCCGGTTAAGAAAAGAAAGCTTTAATAGTCAAAATATCTAGTTTTGGTGTCTATTTATATCTTTGTATAGAAAATCAGGATACTTGCCATTAAAGGCTGGAAATAAATATATAAATGGTGTTTTGGAAAAAGATCAGAAAAGTTGGCTCTTAATTTGTTTCGTTTAAATGAGCCTTATTCATAGAAGAATCAATAAGTCTCTTTATTCAGTTTTCACCTTCATTAATATCGTTGAAGAGACAATCTTCTACTTTTCCGGTTTAAGAAACTCTTGAACTAGACTCATTCAAAACTACAATAGAATGAAAATTACAATGTTTTTACCTTTTGTTAATTAGAGGCTTTTTCATACGGTTTACGTAATTCACCACCTATGATGATGAACTAAATCAATCAAAAGTAAAACCTAAAAAACATAGATGACGCCACCGTTGAGCTTTTTCCAGCGATTTACTAAATCCATTCTTAAACTAAATCAAAAAGTCGAGCAGAAAGACTAAAAAATTGTTTGTTCAACACCTTTTCTCACTCGACCGTATAATAGCGTTAATGTAAATAAACAAATAATAAAAGAATTACGTCATTTAGTCAACAAACAGTCTGTAAAAGGGTTCACGCCAACTAAATTAGCCAATATAGCGCAGTCATCAACAATTTAGAGATGTTTGACCTACACTCGATCTAAACTTAATTCGTTTAATAGGAATAGACTGTAAGTTATTGGAACAAAAAACGTCAACGCTTTGCATTCTTAAATACTCTAGAAATTCGAGTGCTATTACGCAACAATGCTCTTTACTATACGACAATCGAGCGTTGTCTAACCTTTTATTGCAGACAATTAGAAAGAAAATTGCTCCGTTATATCTATACAGAAAATATACATTTGCGTAAAGTGTACATGACATCTAAATTGGCTGGGAAAAATACAAGATGCGCATGCGTAAATGGCCAATTATACGATCTGATAATTATCTCATTATTCCGCCTCAAGTGTAATGATCCGTTGAGATTTGTGTGTACAAACTACGTTAATCGCCTCTAATCAATTTGATAAATTCAATAAAAACAGTATTAGTAACTGTATTAATGTCATTTGTACACAATCGATCATTGTTCGTTTTCTGAATAGGCGCTAATCACTTTGTTGGAATAATTGTGAGTTTTTATATAACCGCGACGCTCGAAAAATTGAGGAGGATGGGATAACGTTAAGTATTCAACTATCAAGAAGAGAATTAATAGAGATATAAATAAAAACACAGACAGCACCCCTCAAAAATAGTGAAATTGAGAAGAATGGGCAGTCAGATAGAAGAAACGATAGATAGATAGACAGATAGATAGATTTGCTGATAAATCATCGGTGGACGATTGAAACAAGAAGAAAGAAAGAAAAGGGAGAGGATAGAGAGAGAAAAAAAGAGACAAAGACAGTTGAAAATATGATTAGATGATTGACGGCTGAGTAGGAGAGAAGGAGGGAAGAGAGAGGAAAAGAAAATTTTCTTGTTGACATAACTCTGCAGATTGCATCACCTGTCAGCAGCGCTAATTGCGTACGGTTGTTGTGATTAACTGCGCATTATCGGTTGGATTATCCAACGTTTATCTACATAGGCGTCATATAGTACGGAAGCGGACGAGATATTTGAGTTGATTGACAGCTGCTAAGGCTTAGCGGGACGCCGATTGCCGTGCTCTCGAAAGCTGTTTGCTCTACTAATCTAGTACTCGAGGCGAACTCAATAAGCCGAATCGTTACGCCATACAAGCGACGTCACTCGACGGGGCGTCGCTGTGCCGTTATTAAACGTCAATTGGTGCATTATCCTGGCAAATTGCTCGCTTAATCGCCTCGTCAAATACTCGATACAAATTGATGCAAAATGGCGAGCGTAATTGTGCTCGGACGCCAATAATGGAAAATTAAATAAAGCTGTTTGCTGAATAGAAGTCTAATGGCGTTCTGTAGATAGCGTTAATCGACCGCCCAGATAAGCGTCTAGACTAAAAATTCGGATTTCTTCTCTTTTCTCTTTGTATTATTTATCGCTTCAATGTGCTTTCTATTTCTTCTCTTTCTATCTCTAATTCCATTCATTCACTTCCGCTCCGAACATGTGCGATGTTAGTATATATCAGTATATACCCGTCATATTCGTTTTATGCTACACTATTCGAATCTCGTCAACAGCCTTGGGCATTTAACTCGCCGTCAGTCAATACACAGTTGCCAAGCTATATGCAAATCCATTTACTATTTATATATTTCTCTTTCCACCCTTCCAAAAACGCTAATGTCCAAATTAAATATTGTTTGTTCTTTGTTTGCGAACCAATTGTGACTGAAGACCTTACACAGCTATGTAGGATCCACTCGTCTGGACATAATAGAAGCATTGAATACGAAGTATACGGCCGTGAAAGCGCTATTTAGCTTACTGCCCATATTAGTAGTCATTATCATGCTTGCGGCTTATAAACGGCGAGAAATTTACTTTGAATAGAGACCCGGCTCAATTATACCCGGGTCAAGACCTATATCTACCACCAACCATCTCTATAATGCAAATTAACACTCCCACAATGCTATGTTCTTCAGCCAATCAGCGTTAAAAAAAAGATAAACGCCAAAGCGAACTAAACGACAGCGAGCGAATCAGGGCAGAGGCTCTAAGAGTTCATTTTCTCTCGCGGTTTTATCACGTTCAGAAGTTGGCTCTAGAGGATGGATATGAATAAATGTAAATCCACTTCTTATATGATTGATAGTATTCTTGGAAGAAGATCCCCTTCTCCTATACAACCACCTATGTCTTCATCGCCTATAGTGCAAGTTCACGACGGTAAGTTGAATCTCTTTTATTTATTATTTAATAATATACCCGCATCAATTTCATTTCGGTCAATTCAAAATGTTAAACAAGTAATTGTTACAAGTTTTCAATCTGTTTTTCTACTATACCCTCTTAAAGAATATCAAGTATTTTAATAGTAGCTTTCTCATCTCTCTATACTCCACCATCCGTCTTTATCTCTTTGACTCTCTCTAACCGAGTTCCCTTTCTTCATATGTTTACTTATATCTTATCTCTTACTCTAAAGTTAGGTATTGAAGTTTCCTGTTGATTTCCTAAAAAATGTAAACATTAGGCATCCTACTAAGAAAAAAAGAAAATTTGGTGAATTACGCAACCGTATAACGATTATTCAGTTCAATAAATCGTGACAATTTAATCGTTTTTATTCGACGATAATAAGTAAAATTTGATACTTTGTATGGGTATGGCATTGCGTGCCAAACTATATGGAGTGTTCATTTGCGTTGAAAAGCGTCATTCTTACAAAAACTTATTGTAAATATACAATAGTATAAATTCTTTATTGTGCCAAATGGGCGGGCAAATATAATTGGTGAATAGTTGAGCGATAACATTATTTAAGCTAATTTACCCCGTTTTCTTTTGACAAAATAACGGTCTTTGAAAAGTTTTTAGGTCCAATTATTACCTATTTATGTACTTACCAATAGCTTAGAAATGAAATTATACAATTGCTCTAAACATATAATAGTAGTTTAAAAGGATGTTAAAATTTATAAAACGCCAATTGCGCTAAGTAGGGTAAAAAAAGGAGATTAGGGAGGTGGAGTAGGAGGAGTTGGAGTAGGAGGAGAGATGGAAATCTCAATAAAAACTTTTTTAAGGATAATTATCTTTATGATTTACTTGGTTTAAGTAACTTTGTATGCATTACAAATAGTATTCTATTAAATACACTAAATTGATTGTCATTTAGAATTAAGTTAAACAAGTAAAGGTTGTTTAAAACTATACTAAAATTGTTTAATCCTGATAACACAGGGATTACGTATGAAACTCTTTGTTTCCTTAACGCAACAGGCAATTAGAGTAAAATCGCAAATCAGATGCACGCTTCATAAGCAATTAATAGTAAACTAACGAACCAAAACAAACTTCTTAAACGAATTGACCAGGGAATTCCGTGACGTAGATTCAGTCAATTAAGATCAAAGTCGCTTCAAACAATAGATAGGAGATTTCATTACCATCGAAGCATGGTGGGCGGTGTCAGATAGATGTGATGAGGCGGTGAGAGTGTTAGCATATGTTCATTGTCAGCCCCCCGCCTATAACTTTCCTACATCGTTCCTCTTATTCAATTACGTCATATCCTATCATCAACAATTCCTTCTCTATTTACATGGAAAAGTTTTCGCCATAATTAATCGGATTGAGCAAGTCGAAACGTCAGGGTGATCCGTTTAAAAATCAAATTTCCTCCCTCTAAATAGCCGTGTATAATGAATATAGGCTTTCTAAATGCACGCATTCGAGGATTATGGTTGGGGTTCATACGGAAACCCTATAAAGTGTATAGTATAATTGTCACGCCATTGAAACCATTAAAGCGTAAGTATTTAATGTCAAATGTCAATTTGTATGAAAGCAAAAAAAACCCTTCAAAAATGAAACCCAAGTTAATTTAGGTGTATACATTCCGATAAAAATAAAAAATCGACCCCTATATAACAACTCATGTATAACAAAGAATAGAAATACTCAAAGCCTTAATTCATTATACTATTTTTCTTGATGAAAAAAAAAACCATTTAAGTGTTAAATGAAATTATTAATAGTTTATATAGAATGAAAACTATTATAATTGGTCATTTGATTGACAGTTTGAAGAATTGTGGGAGAAATAGCTAAGGAAATAGTGTATATATACGACTAGTGAAATAAGAGAGGCCGGAAGGCATATTCTGTCGATATACAAATAATGCCATCACGTAACTGAAACGAAAAGTATGACAAGTGTATAGATCTGAAGGGGCTTAGCCGTTTTGAAAATCTCAAAATATTGCCAAAGTAAAATTCCTTTGTAAGAAATTACAACAATTCATTCAAAATTACTGAATCGTATGAGATACCAAAAGTATGATATAGTAAGACTGGCTATTAAGAATCTTTATTAAATACAAAGTTTATTTCTACTTTAACTATCGCCACCCCCTCCCCTTTTTCTCTCTCTCTGGGTCTCTTTCTCTCTCCCTCTCTATTTATCTTTTTTATTTTCCTCATCTATTTAAATAGTGTTATTCTATACCAACTGTGTATTTTTTTTTTAATCACAAAGCTATATCTGGTCTATTCATTTGATTGCTTACTTTTTTATACATTTATTAAATGCATCTACATGCGCCAATTGATTTTACACACTGCAATTGAATACACTTAATGGAAAAATAAACAAAAAGAAAAACTGTATACAGATATATAATAAGAATAAACGTTTACTAATAGCTTGCATATGTGAGTGTGAACGTGCAGGTGACGTTTTCCTATTGCGGACGTCACACTATTTGCTAATTAGTCTATCAACTAGCAATTAATTGTTTTTGAACGGATGCGTTCTGAGTTTGATGGTTTTGATAGAAATTTTGCGTGATTGTCTATGTTAAAATAATAGAATCATTGTTCCCCCTAATGGTACAATGTTCCATTGTTTTCATAAAAGTAGGGAGTAATCATGCGATAATTTGTCGAGAAAACTCGCTCTCTTTACCTGCATTTTCTCCGTCTCAACAATATATGATTAACCTCTTATCTATAAAATTATCTTAATGCACGTTGGCCAATTAACGACCATTATATAACAGATAATGAAGTGTCTTTGTTCATTTTCAGCAGATGAGGAACACCCAACACCATCTCCACAACCAAACTCCGTTCAAGATGTAGAAGAAACATCTCCTGATGTTGGAGAGGATAAAGATGATAAGCCACGCAAAGTTCGACGAAGTCGAACAACTTTTACAACATTTCAATTGCATCAATTAGAAAGGGCGTTCGAAAAAACTCAGTACCCAGACGTGTTCACAAGAGAAGAGCTCGCATTGAGATTGGATCTAAGCGAGGCCCGTGTACAGGTAAGATTTTCCATCTGATAATATGTAAGATAAAACACAAAGATACCAGCTTTGGTACACCACACAAGCTCTATAAGGCGTTATTAGATACTTTATATATACATATAATGTATTAAAGAGTAAACTAGAGAAGGTAACATAATGGTATTAGAAACCGAACAAGTGTGCATCTGAACTAATGGCTCAATAAAAAAGTAGACAGCTTCTAATTTCATTGTAAATGCATAGGTAAAAAAGCATTAGGGCGGTCGGTAAAGCTTTTCAATTAGCTATCATCGGCTACGGCTCGGCGTGTCGAATTGAACACAAAGCCCTTAAAACACAATCACCTAGCTGTCAAACTGGATAAAGGGTGTAAATGTCAGGACAAATCACTCACGCTCCGTTCATAATCTCGTTCATTAGATTTCACTCTTATATAACCGACTCGTAATTATGTTTGTGTATTTTCGGTCCTCCTATAAATTACAAAGTATCCTTAAACAATAAAAAACCAAGCGCTTTGTAATTTGTTAGAAGGCTAATTAGGCGGACAATAACAGCTAATTACCGCCTATAAACGTTTTAAGTGTACGTTTTAGAGAGCAGATGTTGAAACGTTCTTTGTCCAACGTTGTTTCGATTGCCGCTTTTCTCACCGTCTAATAAAGCAGGAGAGTGATTTTAAAAGAAAGCTATTTCTATAAATAAATACAAAAAATGTACTTGAAAAAAGTGGGAAAAATCGTATATATATCGCCGCACTTAACGGATAAAACCAACTCTATTAATTAAATAGACGCCATTATTTTAAATAATAGATAATAAAGTGACATTAATTTATAACTAAAATAATAATGAGTATAACTATACCGAAAGAAAGAAATAATGATAATAAAAAAAAGAACAATTAAGAGGCTGTTCGTGATAATTAAAGTGTCAATGCATTATCGGATCAATAAATTACGTAACGAATGATAAAAGGTGATGGCAAGTCAAACAATAGCACTTTGTCGTTGAACTTAAGTAAACAAGAATTTTGCAGGGAATAAATAGAGAGATTTATTCTATTAATTATATACTCTATAAAAGAGGGATTTAACCACTTAACGCTCTATAAATTAGCTTACTAGTAAACGATATCTAATCGAATAAGGAGAAAGCCAATTGCTAAAAGATTATATTAATATATAAATTAATTCCTTTTTATTATTAACTGTAATGTATAAACATTGTATAACAAATAAACTTTAATATAAACATATAAAGTATATATATTATAGAAAATTGGATAGTTTATTTGGACAAAATGCATAGGAGATATTTTAAATTAAATTTTGGCATGTAGTACTTTTCTTCTTAAGCCTCGCGCCCTACAAAACGTATTAGTTAAATCGGGCATAGAGCAATTAACCGAATTGAATAGAAGCGATAATAGTGGGTGAAACACTCGAAATGAGAATATAATAAGCTATCATTACACATTGCATTCGCCGTAATCTCACGGGGACAATTACTATGACATTGATGCCGGCGCATTCCTCTTGCCAAGTGAAAAAGAAACGTACACCTGCATAAAAGTATAAAAAAGCGCGTCGTTTGTAAAATGTAATGTTGCGACGCCCTTCTCATGAACAGTCGTATATAATATAGTTGAGAAGGACCACACCGCTAAAGGATAAAAGGCGTCCCTTCAATAGACGCCTAAACGAGGAAGGAAGACGGTAATTGAGCGGATCGGAAGTAGAAAAGTGGAAACAAATTGCACGCCACTGACATAATGAGCAAATGGTATAGTCACGCAGTAAATGCAAGGTCTTTTTGACCTGCCATTACATCTTTATTAATAAAGATATATTAGATATTCTACCGCATTACTGTATTATTTATTGTACGTAGTTTTAATGACTTCAAACGTGAAATTGATCGTATCAAGGCCAAGATAAAATGCCAAAGTTTTTTAATAAATTATTATTTAGGCGGTCTTTTTATACATGATCAAAGGCTTTAAGAGGGGTGGAAAAATTAAATTACAAGTATAGGCATTTAGCGATAGTTACTACAGAGCTAAATTAAGATTGAGAAAATGAAGCCAATTGCTTATTGGAGGAAAGCACTCGCTCTTATTATTGTTAATGAGGCAATTATTAAGAGAAGACGGTACGACTTGGCGTGTGTCTATGGTTAGCATTGGCAATTTGCAGCCATTCACGCAGTCGTTTCACTATATAGTACAAATTATATTGATACGACGCCGTTTTTAATGAAGGTCTATTGTATTTTTCCATACAGGTCTGGTTCCAGAACAGACGCGCTAAGTGGAGGAAGAGAGAGAAGCAATTGGGTAGAGAGAGTCCTACCTATTTAGCTTCTCCAGAAGAATTGACGGCAAATATCCCTGCCGATCTATTAGCTGCTCGAATGGCTTTAAATCCGGTTTTGGGGTTGCATCCTACATTAGCATATCTCCAACATAAGCTACCATATCTACCACCACCTCCACCACCTACTCTTCTACCACCGCCTTTCTTTAGACCCCCTTTACATACCGATTGCAGTTCGGAGGAAACGCTCGATTTGAGAAAGTCATCGATAGAAGCTTTACGTGTTAAAGCTCGACAAATTCAAAGGCCGACCTGTAAATCTTAGACATTTATTATACCACTATACGTATTCGTTTTGTCTGTGTAAATAGCCGATAGACTATATGTAGAAAGAGAGAGTATGTTTACCGATAGAAAATTATGTTTATAATATAATGCCATATAATACAGAGTACATTGACCTTGGTGTGACAAAGAGTGCGTAATTAGCCCTGAAGCGTGTTGGAGGCGGGAGGATATTAAACGCATTAACATGTCCGTGACGTGAGCTTTGTCAAACATGTCTATATCTCAGTTTTCTGCCCCTCAGATAAGCATCTCAATTGTTAATACCATATAATATAACTTTAGTCGAATTATAACCAGTCGACCGAACAAAACAACCCGATTGTTAAAAAAAAAATCCCACTTACGAACCGATCCATAGGCGAAATACAATGGGCAAATAAAGCTAATCAGAGTTAATTGAATTTCTAATAAAGAAAATAGCTATAATTTAAGAGCGTGTAATTGGAAAATGCACATCGACATAATGAAAATCGATAAGCAATAAAAATGTGATTTGTATGGAACGTTCTCAGCAACTAACTTGAAAAAATTCTCTTATTTATCAATATAGAAAATTTAAGAGTTTTATCTATTAAATAGTCTATTTTTCTGATCGGATAACTTTCTATTTTGTTATTATACAATTTTCGCCTTTCACATTATTTCTAATCCACTCAACCGGAAACTATAGTCACGACACTATTGTTATGAAATGGTCGAGATGAAAAGAAACAATTTGACGGCCAGTTAGAATTGGTAAATTGAGCTCGAAGGTGGAAAAATGGATCACTTTCAACGAGCTTTGTTAAAGTATGAAGCAGTTTGTACACAAGTGGATCGCCTTGGGCCACATCTCCATTCACGCCCATCCGCCCATACCACACCGCCTACTAGAGTATCTAACCAATCAGTAGATGGAGCGAGGCTTAACGACCGATCTGGGGAAACTAGAAAGGATTCCAATTTACTTGTTTACACTCAAATTCGTTCACGAAAAGCGGCCTCATTACAAGCGGCGCGTTCTAAAGAAAACAACAAAAGAACTTGACGACGCATGGAAAAGCGAGAACTGTATAAAGTATATAACCTATATAGGGCAGATTTGATGCTGGATGAGTTGATCTAAATCCAATATTGACGCAGTAAGTAATTGTATGTTTGCCTGTGGCCAGATTCATTGAGCGAGTTGCAAATATTTAGAGGCGACTTGATTAATTCCTCACTCAGACTCTCTTCACTCTCAATAGACGACCCACATTCATGGACATCAATCCGATTTTGTTTATAATATGTATAAAAGGCCGCCGCTATAAAAACTCCAACTTGATAAGATGATGGGTTGGCGGATTAGCGCAATTGATACGATGATAAAGTGATCGATGATGACCACATGCTACATTTCTCGTTAGGCGAGACGTCATCAATGGACGCTGGCTATTTGGATGGATTTAATACTTGGAATCCTTATACTCTTATTTGCATTCAAAAGATATAGAGTCAAAAGAAGGATTTTGTCAATTGTATCCCATAGAAACGTTTAAAAATGATATGTAAATGATATTCAAAGAACAATATCTGGCTATTCTATATATTCCGTACATATATTCATCTGTAATAAATTGATTAGAAAAGCACAAATTCTACTCTTATTAAATGCCTAGAAGATAGGATATAATTGTTGTATTAATTTGCAAGGATTTGCCCCAGGATTGAGGGAAAGAGAAGAAAGGACAAAATAAAAGGGAACAAAATAAAAGAAAAATAAATCGAGATCTTTTTTAAACCTTCGATTCATACGACCTCTAGTGCTAGAATTACAAATGCTAATTGAAGGGCGTGGATCTCTTATACTTATTTAAGGTTATGGACGTTTTAAGCATTAAAGCTTATTACGTATAAATTCGCGGAAATATATACTTTCAAGCGTTATAGAAATTTCTAATTATAAAATCACTTTATGAATATTTATTAGATATTCTTTACTGCATTATTAAATAAATAAGAAATTGTTATAGCTGTACGTAACAACCTGATAGTCAGTTTCTATAATAAAGAGAACTAATTATATACCATTTCTAAGAATATCTTTATTAGATATTCTTTATAATCATCAACCTTTATCTCTGTTAATTGTTTTAATTAATCGCTATTTATTTATATAATTAATTTAAATAGATTAGTTAATAATTTTTTATTAGGTATTATTTTCGATTATTCATATAGATTTTCTATTTTAAATGCTGTATTAGCTATGGAGTATATATATATAATATATACAGTTTATATATATATATATATATAATATATACAGTTTATATATATATATATATATATATAATATATACAGTTTATATATATATATATATATATTATTTATTAACACTTTAAACAACTTGGAGGAATGTTCTATCTATTTAGAAAAAAAATAAAAGGAAAATTAGACGTTTGTCAACACTTATTTATAAAATAAAGATGGTGATTAAGAATTAGTTAGATAAGATCAATTTCCATTATATACACGATATTTCGATTAGCGAAGTTGGGGCGTATTTAGCTTGAGGGTTTTTTTTAGAGACTTGACCCTGTAACATGTAAAAGTAATATATTGTTTTCTATATTACACCCATACCAAACCATTGAAAGTGGAGAATTTTAAGATTTTCGAGTGGCGTATCATATTCATATCTACTGGCTGTTAAGTATTCCCCTTACAAAATAGGTTAATCTAACCCTGAAACTGGTTTAAAGTGTAATTTAAGGCAGTTTACTGACGAAACAATGTCAAAGCTTCTAATAAACTTTAGAAAAAAGAATATTGCCGATAGAAAAAGGAAATTATTTATATCTTTTAGCCAGAAATTAACTAAGCCTACGCTTAATACTAATAATAATACTAATACTAATAACTTCAAACAAAATTGTTTATTGTCAATTCACAGTTATATAATGAATAAAGCTTATTATAAATTTATTAATCTGTTTCGAGAGTTTCAGTCTCAGTTTCGATTATCAACTCAACCGGAAGAAAAGAGACGTTATAATATATTCGATTAGAGAAAATTGAATAAAAACTGTTTTTCAAAGAGATTTTTAAACATTTGTTTGTCTGAGGATTATGACTACTAAATAAATCCTCTCCTCTCCAAATGGTAAATTTGTAGCATGCTAGAATAAAGAAAAGTTCCAATACCTAAAAGCCTTCTTTACCATATAAGTAGTTATTTAATCCTTTGTTAGATAATTTATTAAGATTTATATTAATATATTTATTACTTTCTCTAAAGTATAATTAAAGATTTTTAAGCTCTTTTTTTTAAGAGAATTGATAAATATGCTACTTCCAAATATATAATATAGATGGCGCAAAACAAATTCTCTGGTGGAATCAGAATTATTTCTTGACCTAGAAAAGAATATTTCCCTAGTCTATTTGGACAAAAAGCGTATTTTTTCCAACCCCAACAGGCTTACATTATTTATTTATCTCATTTAATGAGTGAAGCTATTTTTTATCCCGCTTATAGTCGTTGTAATTTATGATATTTTCCCACAAAGATATTAATAAAAAAAAAAAGAAAAGACAATTTTTAAATATGAATGGAATGATAAAATTGTAAAGAATTCAGATAAATCAACTTTTTTTTTCCTTTATATTTTCTTTACTAAAGAATAATGTTAACTTTGCGATCTGAAATAATTTTAAGACATGAAGTAGGGAAGAAGGGTGCTGGTAATTCATTAGTAAATAATAGTTAACCACTTGTGCCATAGTTTACCTATTTCCTCTCAAATATATACGGTACACACAGTCTTTTTATAACGGAAACTGTTAATATTTTATTTTATTTGCTTAATATTTAGTAGTAGTCTATTTGAAAAGGGAATGCTCTTCGACTATTACAGCCTACTATGCTTCACAAAGCCGTATATCAAAGGCTAAAATTTTTGAAGGACTTGGCAATAACATATCATAAATGGAGCGGTTTCTTTCTGTACACACACATATATATATAGTTTATATACAGTATACACTAATATGTATAAGGAATGAAACATATTTCATTTAATTTTAAACTGATATTTTTAGCTGTTCAGATGGTTTCAAGTATAGAAAATTAATGTAACCCAACCGCATTTGGTATGGTAACAGTTGTTCATGTCAAAATAAAGAACTAAATATAAATAATATTTGTAGTGACGTCATGTTTCTCACCATCTTACACCTGGAACATTTTTTTCTTCTCAAATTTAACTCTGTCTTTTTTTTATTTTTTTTTTTGTGTACAGACTTTAATATGCAGAACTTCGTTTTTATATAATTTTCAAGTAGTTTCAACAGTTCAATACCTCTTTTTAAGATAAGTATTCTGTTGACATCTTATAATAAATAGTTTACTCAAGTTTACCGTTATCGTACATTTTATCAAATTTTCTGTTGCTATTTGGAGGAAGGCTTTTAAATGTTTTCAACAGAATAACTCGATAACAAACAATAAAACAGGGCAAGAATTTGAGAGATAGACTACCACGTTATATTCATTTATCAAACAGATGGCGCCAAATGAAGAAAATAAAAAATAAAAAATGATTGTTCACAAGAAGCGCCATCTATCGGCTTTGCTAGAGGGAAAACTAAAAATACACACTTTGTAATACTTCACCACGGTTGAATAAAGAGATATTTAACATAAAAACATGTTATAAAGAAAAGAAAATTATTACTTAGGCAGTTTAACATAAAAACTGGGACAATTCGTTTTTGCTTATAGAGAAAATTGAATTTTTATTTAACAACGGACTCCTTATAGCGGAAAATTAAATGAATTTATTCAAAATAATACTAAATATCAATTAAAAGTCCTACTAGTCGCCTAAAGCAAAGAACTCTTTGAAAAAGATTTCATTGTTGTAAGAATATTTATGGATTTTATGGGTTAGAAAAGCCCGTTTGTCAATTTAATTTCTCAAGTAGTCGTTGTACTTGGAAAGAAACGAGTATAAGATAAAATAAAATATGGGGACAAAGAACAACAAAAATTTTACAAGATTAAGTTTAAAGCCATAAACATTCATTTATAGTTATACTGTATATAAACAACATTAATAATTAGTTAACTTCATTAATAATGGTATATCTTCATCACAATCGAATTTTAATGGTTCTTCTTTACATAAATACATTGTCTGTGGAATTGTCTTCTTCGGCTCTACCATTTGTCCACTTTGTAATGAATTGCATTTACCAACGTATGAACAATTGGAACATGGTTCGCAAAAGTTCGAAGTTCTACAACAGCAGCTATTAATAATGAAATTCTCTTCTTTGTTTAAGCTATTTGTTCGAAATTGATCATTTATGATTTTACTATTATTTTTAAAAGTATTTTGACTTTCCCACGAGAATAATTCATTTATTTTTTCTTTAATATTAAATGGAATTGTAGTAGAGATATAACGGCTCTTTATCACATCACCCTTTCCCAGTCGGCTTGTTTGAACTACAGAATTAGATCTCTCTTTGTTTGATTCATCCATTAATTTATCCTTTTCATCCCCTGGATCAATTATATTTAGTATGGCTTCTTTGGAAAACTCACTATTGATAATAGAAATCTCGTCAGAGTCTGTCATTTTCACTGATTCAACACTGACTTTTTCTGGTCGATTGAATTTCAGGGTAGATTTCTCGTTCGAGTTGACCAAAGCATCCTCGAACTCACCCTCGACCTCAGTTTTCACGACTTCCGTGGTGGTGGAAGAGTGTTTAACCTTATCCATCTGGACATCTTCTTTGTCTGCTGTTTTGTTTGTTGTCATTGTGTGACTTCTTTCGCCATTTGTTATCGTCTGAACAAAAGATCCAAAAGTTTTATCATATCCTTTATTCTCCCCTTCTGCCTCCTCTTTTTCTCTCCCCCCGTTATCATCCTTATGCTTTTTATTCTCCGTTTCTCTTGCCTCAAGCACATTTTTTAAATTTTCGTCAACATTATTCGTGACTTTGGATTGTTTGGATTTCTGTTTTCGCTTGAACAACCAAATTCTCTTTTTTCGTAAGGTAAAAGCCGCTAAAAAAACAAGAAACAACCCAACAAGGCCAATTAATATTGGCATAAAGAAATTGATACCCGTTGAACCGTTAGCGGATCTTGGAGACCATTTGCCAAATTGACTGCCCTTTAGCCCGACTTGTTTAATAATTGTAGAAGGCTTACATTCTTGAACGCTGACTGAACCTGTCCGTTTAGTGTAAGACTTAGATGGACATTTTTTGCATTTATCCATTCCGTTCATTGGGGCGAAAAAACCTACTGGACATTTTTGACAATGACTGGTTCCATTACCTCGTTTAAAATGACCTTTAGGACATGGAAAACAACGCCCCAGCTCAACGTCAAACTTTGCTTGAAAGCCACCTGGGCAAAGCCATAAATAATTATTTCTTACGCTCTTCAGCACGTGTTCGAAGCGTTCAAGTAATACGGGCCTAATTTGTTTCTTATATACATTATTTAAGTAACGGCTGTAAAATTTGACAGTACAACCCTCCGACCGCCTGCAGGCATGTGCTGCTGGTATGAGGTTATCATCTGGTGCGATGTCTAAATAACCGTTAAACCAGCCCTTTTTGCAGTTGTGATATAATAAGACAAAACATTCTTTAGGGGGTTTCCCATAATGACAAGCTTGGGAAAGAACTTTTGATTCAAATATATCAAAAGAGGATATTTTATTCAAGCATGTGTACCCTTTGCGAACCCGTAAACGAAAAGTAATTTTAAAAAGAAATATAGGGGAGTCTGAACGCCTCCTTATAAGTGAGGGAGTCATCAAACAGGCTGTACCATCTCCACTAGATGTCGTTCCAATAGGACAATTTAAACAAGAAGTCTGTCCGACAATATTTTGAAAGTGGCGTCCTGTACACTTACGACATTCAACAGAGGCAAACCGATGGCTGTAAGTCCCTTTTGGGCAATCCTGACATTTTCCCGTTCCACTCTCACTTTTATACTTGCCCGGAGGGCAAGCAGAGCAAGTCAGGCCGCTCTTTTCCCCTCCTACTGGGCAGGCTATAAAGAAATATTGCTTAATAATCGAAAATATTTCAGAAATTTTAAGCCCATGCACCAACCATTAGCACAATCCTTATTTCCTTCGAAACCTTTGACCGACGTCTGATTGATAGGACAGAGCTTACATTCCATCTCTTGGACATGATCCTGATAATAACCAGGTTCACAGGGTTTACAATACTTTTGCCCTGTTGTGTTTATATCAATGGAGTTATTTATTTGTTTATTTATTATCACAGAGAAATTTAGAGTATAATTCATATTCGTTTTTCTTTTTACCTTTGATACTCGAGTACGTCTCTCTTGTGCATTTCAGACATATCGCCGACCCTTTTAACGGTTGATACTCGCCTGAGAGGCACTCGACGCACGTGATACCATTTATAGAATGCTCACCGACCTTACAAGGTACGCAATTGAAATTTGATTGAACAAATCCGGGTGGGCAATTTATAAAATACTTATGCCTTAGATCACGTCTTATATGTCTAAAGAGGATAGGTAATTGGTATGATCCTCTTCTAATTAGAACCACTAGAGGGACGCTATTTTTCACAGAGTCTTTAATAAAAGCCTTAATTCGTTTGTATAACTTCTTTCGTAGGTCTAAAGGAATGCTTTTAGATTTTGTAGAAAGCGTTAAACGGAACCGGGTTCCTTCGTTTATTTCCTTTGTCCGCTCCGTATTTGTTGTTCTAAAGCAAAACCCTTTTGCGTATCGAACAGCAACCAGATTGCAGTTTAAGTAATCACATATGGAATCAAAATGTCGCATTATTTCTTTTTCGTCTTTGCATCTTAAAACCAAGTCTGTGTTCTTTTGCTTATTGATTAGAACGTAGACGTTCCAAGTAAAACCGTGCAGGAATTCTATCACGTAAAATAAACCTAATAATCTATGTAGCGGAAAAGAAATGCTTTGCATGTTTTGTAAACAAACAGTATGGTTTTTTAAATTATGTACTCCTTTAATAAATCTTTCGAATTTTTAAAGCTAAACCAACTACGTAGAGTACGGTTAGATAAACAAGAACGCAGATGATACCATCATTTCTGATTGGCGCCACCTGGCTGTTGATAAGGGAGCAGAAGTTCGATTTGAACTGCCACCTGGCGCATCCCAAAAATTTGCGTGACGGGAGGGTAGGGAAAAAACGTTCTAACCGCTTTGTGATTTGTCTAAGATATCTGATAAGGCAGCGTGTAAGTTTTCACACAACATACAGCAAAAAAATAAGCTGAGTAAGATGGGAAAAAGCTCTCGCTCGACGATAAAATGTAAAAGCTGATTTATTAGAGGGATACGTCGACGTAATTTCGTCTCTCACATGCCTAACCGTTGCTATGGTAACGACGCAGCGGTGATTAGACGCCTCGAGGCTGCGTGACGCCTCACAATAAGGCAACTGTAATGATGAGAGTATTATACGGATTCGACTTTGCAGTTGGGACGTAATTATGGGCGTCTGATAAAAATCATTTTCGAATAAATATTTTATAAGAGGATGTTCTTTAAAAATGCGGTTGACAAAGCTTGTCACTTGTCACAGAGACGTCCCTAGTGGGTAACTGCAACGAACTCCATTTCATACTCTTTTCAGTCTTTCTAATTTTTTTTCTCTCTATTTGACAAATTGCAGACGGACTTGTCAATTTGAAGGAGACGTTCGGAGAGCACCTGCGTGCCACACCCTGTCAGGCGTCTAGAGCACGTGCAATCTCGGCGTCTCTCGACTATGAGTAGCACCTGCACCCTTTGTCTTTGCGGAACACGTGCGCCCGGCAGATGTGCATACATATGACGGCCGTAGACGTCATGTTTGCTTTTGGTCTTTCCAATAAGACTGACGTTTCACTTTCTCAATCTAAGCCAACGCAATGGCTCGTTAAAAGACCGAAATCCGAAGCAATTTCACGCAACGTTACTCCTTTGGGGCGTCTCTGCGGCGTTTCACGGCTCGTTTTGTTTTATTCGGAGTCACCTTTCAAAAGCTATGAAAATTCGACTCCTAGCTTGTTTGCCTCACTCGTTCGAATGGGCGGATTGAGTTACTCGTAAACAAGTTGGCAAACTACGCTAAGGCTCGTGTATGTTTGTAAATGTTGCGTGTTTTTTGATAGGTTGGTTGTAAAGAGAAAAACATGGGCTCTCTCATCTCTCTCTTTGCCAGTCTGTCGTTCCTCCTTTCTCCGTTTAAGTCGGCAGATGACTAATACTCGCGACGACGTCGAGGCAGATGCGTGCTACGAATATTGCAGCTGTTGAGCATTCCCAGCACCTGGTATATGGCGTCGTCATCAACTGCAACGCCACCTGCACGTCCATCTGCCACCTTTCTTGAAATAACCGCATCTGCTCGGAGCCCTCGAGATAGAAGCAGTTCATTGAAAAAAAGGAATACGGGGGTCGAATCAACAAGAGAATATAATCAGAGAGGAATACGATTTTAAAGAGAAATCGTTTAAGAAAGGCGATGACACTCGGTCCGTGCAGAGCTGGACCGCCTGTAATGACGTAACAGTTTCGAACGTTTCACGCACCTGGATCGAGTTGTGTCTATAGGCCGCCGTAGGCATTCGACACATGTCTTGTGCAGGTGGTGACATTCTTCGCATCACTGGTGCTGCCACTCCGTGAGAAAGTGGCGATTTGAATAACGAGCTTACTGTTTTTAAAGCTTCCGAAATAATACATGAGCATAACAAAGCAAAGAAGTATTTGATGAGAAACTAAATGAAGGAGCAAAAGAAAGAGTAGAAAGAGAAGTGGGAACAGAGAAGAGACAATAAATGAAAGGGAGATGGAGAGGGGGAGAGAGTGAATGAGGGAGAGGGTTGACGATTGAAATAAAGGAATGAATTTTCCACGTTTTTTATCTACAGGGTACTTAACGCCCAATTGTAATACCGGTCAGTCATTAGACGAGCCCGCGAATTGCATCACAAAACTCTCGAGCAGCTATGACACTTCCGTTCGTCGTTCAATAAATCACAAGTGCGACAAACAAATAACTCGAATAACCCAGCGATATTGCGATTTTTGGGCGTTCTGTCAACAGAAGTTGGCAGGTGAAATTATCGTGTCGAATACATAAAGAGCAGGGATTAAAAACGCCTCCTTTTGGATTAGATAGATTCAACCTTTTCACATTCTTTTTTTTTATGTCAAAATTCTTCTTGTACTCTCTCTTTTCTAGAAAAGTTCAAGCATCTCTCGTCACCCGTATGCATTCCTTGCGAATAAGCGCATCTGTGTTTTCCGAGGTCTTTCTTTCATTACTCCATTAGATCGAGCCTCACCAAAATATTGCCGTCACCTGGCGTTTGCCTTCGGAACGTTCTCCAGCACCAGGTGTCGAATGTATGGCGTGTCAGAGTAACAAGAGTGGCAATGTTTGGCGCCAAATGACAGGCATTCCTAAAGGCGCTTTTCTCCGCACCTGACTAAACACTGACGTATACATTTCGCCTTATTCAATAGGCCTATTTTGATTGGCCACCTAACAAACGAAAGAGGTTGGAAAAAGAAATAAAAGAGTAGATAGAAGGAAAGAGAGGAAGAAAAAAAATAAACGCCCGTCAAGTAGTGCGCATATGGCGTCTTCATTTCGCTGCGTCTGTCGCAGTTTGTCCAGCTTTCGAATATGCAGACAGACCAGACGCGTTACACATCTGCACCGCAGTTTGTCAGATAACAATATACTAATTAATTGATGTCATTTTTTTGTATTCAACTATTCGTAAAAGCAATTTAGTTTTTACACTTGAATAATTCTTAAACAAACTATTATTTTGTCTTAAAAGAATGAAAACAAACTATATTACAATAATTTTTCTTGTACTAAGTAAACCGGTAGACGTCTCTCTTTTTCCAGATCACTTCATATATATTGCACTCGCCTGTTTTCCAGATCCGGCTGGATTTCTCGACATTGACGACCGTGAGAGCGAAACCAGCTCGCTGCAAAAGAATAAATAATCGAATCAATAAAACAGGTGCGGGAACGAGACGTCTTCTAACAAAAAGGAAATAAAAAGCCCTAGTAGGGAGTTTTCTGAGACGGGTGCTTAAGACCGGATTTTTTATGAGTGAAACGGGCAAGCGTTAGCCCCCGGTGCAAAAAAATGCAAATCTAATCAGGTCGTCGCGGCCGAACCTGACGTCGTCACTCGTAATCGAATTTTTTTCCTTCTTTACTTTTTTGCTACAAGAGCGCCGTCTTACAGCGTATTACAGTCACGCGAGACGACGCAATCAAAGAAGAATCTCGCTTGGCGCATATCTAGTCGCCTAGAAGATTTCTCCGGGGACTAGAACCAACTTGTATGCGCTAAGCAATTGTTTTATTGACGCCCGTCGCTATGGTGACGGCGGTCATTACTAACGCTGCATAGACTTTCGTTGCCTAGCTGACTGCACAATGTGACGTCGCGTCGATATAAATATATTCATTTACTTGCTAAACAAACTTATGTATAAATATAAATAGGAAAATTCAACTTACCAATTAAAGGACGGTTGAGATATCCAGAAAAACGCTGATTAGTACCAGCGTTTCTCTATATATAATGATTAAAATGGTTGAATGTCGGTTGTCTGCAATAACAAATAAAACATGAGATATGTACATTTTTGTTATTTTCACATATTCTATCAACTATTCGATAAACTATAGTACATTGCTTAAAAGAAACGCACAGATGTGCTTAAAAAGATAGAGAGCATTAAACGCCGGCTGGTTTGTTTATGATGAATAATAGAGAGCGGGCGATAATTTACGAAAATGAAATAGCAGATGCTTCGTTTCGAATTGTTTAGACAAGTTTGCGAGAAAAGCCGGCGGCGTATGGCGTGCACCTGCACCTGTACCGTGTCAATACTTAACAGTTTGCTATGACGACCCCCGCTTTATCGGGCAGATAAGCCCTTTACAAACAAGCATCATCTGGCACCCCAGCAATGTTTTCATAGGCGCTGTTTGTCTGAACGGCCGACTCGTATGATGTTATCTCGAATAGGCGCCTTTTATAAATAAGTCTGATAAGGCGCCGTTTGACATCGAACAGACAACTTACCGTTAACCGGTGAAATGGTAAATTCATTGGGTTTTCGCCTAAAGGCGTTCGTCCTTCAGTAGGCAGGCAGGGTGAACAGTCGAGTTCGAGCGTCATTTCCAGATCGAAAATATAGTCAATAACGTGTTGTAGGAGTTGTACTTTGCTGACCTTCTTGTCGTTAGGTATTGTAGGTACGAGATCTCGTAATTTGGCAAAGTAAGAGGCCATTTCACCATCGATTACGTGTGTAGCATGTGATTTCTTCACACCACCTTCTCTCATAGCTCCAGCAGTACGAGGTTGACAAATTTTAGCTTTCATTTTCTTATTTGATTCGTAAACACAAATTCCTTTTCTCAAAAATAACAATTTGTAGGCAGTATAGTCGCTTTTTCGTTAGTAAATTTTCCTCAGTATGGAAAAACTCAAGACGTTTCGTAATCAACTTCTGGGAACGATCTACATCGACATTAGGCAACAATTCAGTATATATACTTGAATTGGTAGGGTTCCGTATTCCGTATCACAAATCTAACCAATCAGCGTCAAGAGTTTTAGGGCTCTTAACCAATCACCCCTTAGAGCACAGCAATGTCAATCACTGTTCAAACACCTGTTCTCAATAGCTGCCACCAATTATGTGATGACTGTCGTACTGCAATAGCTAAGATTTTTCCTCTTTTTTAAGAAGGCGTGTTCACAATTTTTGACGGCTCGGCAGGTGAAGCTGCGGGAAAGCCATCGAGTCGTTCGGTCAGCAGCTGTTAAACGCCTATAGGTGGTTGAAAAGATCAAAAGCCCGATTCCCACAGATTGAAAGCCGACGTTCAGCATTTATATAGGCTGATTTGCACGTCCGAGCAGGCTTATTTCTTGTTCTTATTGTTTTGCAGGTGCAGCTCGTTCAAAGACATTTTTCCCACACTGTTCATACAAAATCAAATATTCCCGGGCGCCGTACTGTCTGTACAACCATTCAGACATAACACCTTTCTGGCGCCGGCCTGGCGCCTCCTCCCCGTCATTTCAAAGCACCGCGCTGATAAAACACATTAAAAGTGCTCAGGTGTTCACCAGGCCACACACACCTGCACATTTGCATACAACTCATGAATATGTATTAGCCGTAGTAAAGAAAAACATGTATACATATACAAGTTAGGCCTATTATTAAATACACGGAAAGAATAATTGATCTGCTCGGACGACTATTGATCGCGATCGATCGCAGCTGGTTGTTGGCCATTGCCTTCGATGACCCTTTCTAAAACGGATAGGACGGGGAACAGCAGATGTAAGGAAGAACTCTTGACAGGTGCTGCCTAGCATTCCATTCTCCACCTGGCACTATTGTGCCGCATATGTTCGGTCATGCGCCGCTGCGCCAATCCACGTTCCATGCACATTTCATGCGGTGCGTGGAATTTAATAAATGAATGAAGGAATGAAGGCAAGGAATAAAAAATGGAAAAGAAGAGAAAAGAGAGATAGCATGCATGAAATATACTGTATTTTAACAATGAGAACGCCCGTCTGTCTCTCCCTGATGCTGCCATCGCCATCATATCCGCAACCGGCTTCGGTTCATTTCCTGTTTCTGTTCAGCATAGTAAAAGCGTTTCCAAGGAAACGCTTCATTCGATACGTTATCGATTCTGCGTTAAATAATTATATACGCTATATTGACAAGGCATTTTTGCAAGAGTCATAGGAAACGTTGGACGGTTGTCATTTGAAGCAATTATGTATTTATTCATTAATAATGCAATACAAAAACGCCCCCGATACGGCGATTAAAACTCAATAACGAAGCTTATTATATCGCCGTGAAATACTGCAATACATCACGAACTGAAGCGACTGCAATTTAGCGACCGTGTAATTGCAGTTGCAGATGACCGAATCTGGTACTTGTGCACAAAGTAATTATTAACAGTTAGTTCATTCTGTTCTTGCAGTGTCAAAACTAAGTTCGCACTCGTTCAGTCATCTCGGCGTTTCACACGCACAAAAACTGCTGCAATTTTCCATTCATATTCACCGGAAGTTAGTCTTTGCTGCCCCTATGTGTAAACTGCATAAAATACTGTGAAAAACCACTGAATTTATCATCAAAATCTGTCTATTCATGACGATCAGTTTTATCTCCACTATTAATGTACTCTCAACAAATTATTGGTTTAAGTTAGACAACAGAGTGATGTTAAAAATCAATGGTACGGGTCAAAGATTGTTTGCAGTCTTCGTGCGTGTCACCTTTCACTTGTTTGCAATCAATCAGAAAGAAATCCGAGGTTCGGCTTAGACAGGCCTATTTAAATGGTGACGTATATTTATATGTTTAATATACTGAATAAATGTATATAAAACCTTAGCTGGGTGTGTTTAGAATGGTAATGTATCTTGTGTTCGTATGGGAGAAACGATCAAGAGGTCAAGAATGCCTGGTTGCTCCTCATAAAAGCAAGGTCACCATAGATTAAATTGTCAATGTAAGATAGTACTAACTTTATTAAAAGATTCACAGCGAGAGATAAGTGAATGTTTTAATAGACGTGATTTATCTCGTCTGTTCGTTAATAAGCGGCGAGTATAGAAAACTGTCAGTCATAGTACTCTCTCTTTATCAGATCATCAATACAACGGTTTACTGCTAACTGTATACCAAGGTGGTCATTGACGGTCACTTCAAAAGCGTGGGAAAGCTAAAAATGGCTGAACCTGAATAGGGCTTACTCATTCTTTCTAATAGTTCTACCCCCATAAATATTTATGTTAAGGCTACTTTATCAAAGAGGGATTTTTTCTTATCTATCGTTCTTCAGGATGAGGATGTTGTTGCTTTTCTTCCCCCTATTTGATTTCCCTTGTCCAGACATTTAGCACTCTGTTGAAGAATCAGCTATGTGATTTTTTGCTTTGTGTGACACTAGATAAGCATCAAGACGCAAATGCTAGCTCTAAGTTGCGTCACTGTTCCCAATTAGTTTATTAATTAGCGCTTGTTCTACAACGAAGGGCAGGTGAGTAGTCAGGTGCATGGAATGTTGTTCCACTATTATAAGCAGATGGCTAGCTAGAAAAAAAACGCTACAGCTGTGCTTATACGTTCAAAAGTTTGATTCCCTACTCTCTTTTAACCCCCCACCTTCGTTATCTAATTCACGTTCCTAGCACCTCGGTGCCGCCATCCGAGACGATTTAAAGCGGATTTTGTTTAGGTTTCGGCTAAAATGGAATGCGTTTGAACTAAACCGCCAGATGTGCTCAGGCCCGACGCTTTGAAAAGCGTCGTCAAGCGCAATTAAAATTCCACGAATTTCCTTGCTGGCTTTTGATGTCGTCGGCGACTTATAGAAATTTAGAGGAAGAAAAGGTGTATACAGGGAATGGGGCGTTATACAAGAGCATTGTTCGTGTTTACGTGAATCGGGCGTTTGTTTCGGCTGTAAGCGCTTTGATCTAAAAGCGTCACGATAAACTCTTGCGCAGGTGCGGTATTCATGAAATTTTTTATCCAACTTTCCGTTACGCTCTACCGGCTCGGTGGGCTCCCCATTTACTAATTGTACTTTCAGTAGCCTCTCCATTAATAAATAAAGAAGTGAGGGGGGTTAAACGAAAAAGAGAAAGGCACATAGGCAAAACTAGAAAGGATTGTTTGCTGGTTATGGGGGCGGCATTGGAACGCGCTAACGAGCATAAAAGAGGAGAGTTTGCCCGATAATTGGAGTTCGTATCAGATCGAACGCGTTTGGCCGGTCATGCAGAATAAACATCGTTCTGCATAACTTTCTCTTTAGATTAACGCATCATGAAACAAAGTCTGTTTGTCAAAAGTATATTAAAATGTAACTTTTACGTAATCATTAGTAAAGAAATTGAAACGTAGGGTGGGGACGAGTAAAAAGAGTAAATCTGGCAATATATAATTGATAAATATCGCCTGCAACCTGTCAGTTCTCACGTAAAACTGGCCGTCTGAGAAATGGGAGAAGGCGTATTTAATTACGTGCCGAAGCATATTGTCTTAACGCTCCGTAAATAAAATGAAACAACTATTATAATAATTAATCGGGCGTTAAGCATTATTGTTCTTTTAGCGCCTCTTCTTTCATTCTCTCTCCAACCTTCCTACCGTATAAGTATTACCTCGTATTCGTATATTAATGTATGTAAAAGTTCGGTTGTACAATAAAGGATTTTTCCTCTCATTATTCCCTTGCCTTTGGCTACATTTCAACGCTTCGTAACAAAGGGGAGATGAAGAGATAAGATTGTCAAAAGTATTTATATGACCTTCATTTAACAAAAGGCCATTTTCTTTAACCTATGGCTAAAAATTTCTTTTTTTATTTAAAAGCCAATGATTTTTTCTAAGTATTCAGCACATTTTAGGCATTTAGCATGAAACGCCTTCTATCGGTTTTACTATTTGTTTAAAATGTCACTGTAGATGGCAGTAATCATTTACTAATAGAAAGTATTCATGATAAGTCATGGTAATGGATTTAAAAAAAGACAATAAATTTCCGTTAGTTGTTTTCAATACCTTGAATACGTGATGTTTACACAAGTGCTAATTAACTACTATCATTATTTACCTTTAATTATCACAGATAATAGGTCTTCCGTTTAAAAAATTTCGAATATTTCAATAGGAAATATAGTATATTTTCAATTTAAAGATTATTGATTAAATAGCTTCTTATTATTCAAAATGTATGTTTACATAAAAGAGCTTAAGTGCCATTCAAATGAAAGCGGTTTCTACGTAATTTACATGCATTAACCTATATTATGTAATATAAGCAGATGAAAGTCTGGCGGAGAATAACCAGACACGGATCAATAGTGACATCTAGTAGCTAAAAAAGCATTATATTTCTTTTTTTGTATACTAGTTTTATTTTCAACACTAAACATCGATAACTTCACGAACCAAATTGTACAAATACAAAGAAATAAAATTTTAGCAATTGTTGTTAATTACATGAAAGGTAAAAAGTAAAAATAGGTCAGAATTAGGCATATAAAAGGTGTGAAATGAAAAAATTATAAACACTAACGCCCATAGCAAGTATCCTTAATTTTAGAAAAGTAAAACGTGTTTAGAATTACCTTTTTTTCATATTATTTACGTAAAATAGGCAGTTTTTTTAGTTTAATTAAAACACAAAAAAACTATTGCAAAATCTCCCTTTCTGTATTTTTCATTGATTTTCTCTCTTATTTAAAAAGATTTGAAAGAAAAGGAAAAGAACAATATGAGATGGCGGAAGGAAAGAATAAATAGAAACGATAAGAGAGCATTTTATCGGAATTCCTAACATAGTTTTAATAGGAAATTTACCAATGTCAAAGTGTAAATGTGTATTATATATTTCAATAAATCAAGGGAGTTAAGACAAAAGAAAGGTTTTTTTAACTTCTTTTTATCTTTATATTAAACGGCTATTTATTTTTAACTGTTTACATTAGTAAAAAGACGAAGTTGCTGAGAAAAAAGTTTGTAACAGTTGTTTTTATATAAAAAAAAGTATATAAAGAATATTATAATAAAAAGTAAATTGATATTAAAATTAGAGACAATGCCCTTGTAGGTTAAGATGAAATTTATAATAGTTATAGTATGAGTATACAGTAACGATTTATCTTTCAATGATATTTATTACTCATGATGGAGGGAAATTACTTATAAATGCAATAAGAATGTCTAAAATGGAGGAAAGTAGTTGAATTATAATTTTGTTTTAGTATTAAACCAATATTAAACAATAAAGATACAGTTTACTAGTTATTTTTAGATACAAAAATTCTGTTTTATCAGTGTGAGAAATAGAAAATTTAGCGTACCGCATTCTTTTTGTATCACTTTTCAAAGTTTATAAAAGGGTGTATTTATCATTCTATCATCTATACTAATGGTTGAAAATATCTAGATAGTTTATCAGAATGCCATTTAGAGGTTGGTTAACTGTTTTCAAACCTTTTTTAATGAAATTATTTTGTGATTGCATAAGAATTTATAAAATGATTTTGCCACTATTTACTCTTTTTGCTTTAGTTTTATTTATTGAAAGGAAATAAGAAAAAAAAGACAAAAGCTTCTAATTTAATTGTTTTTTCCGTTTAAATCGTTCAACAGATACATTCCTGCTTAAATGACTTTTGACATTAGTTAAATAGTACAAAGTAAAAAAGCTATGTAAGTGTACAAGATGCTACAAAGAGATTTTTACTAATATTTTTTAATCAGATTTTTCCTCCATAAACTGAAAATTTTTACGTCAAATCAAGCATTCATAAGTTCTGTAAAACGACAATAGATACTTTAATCTATTGACAACTTTTTCGCTAGTAAAATTTTAAAATTGCCACAACTATGGAGAAGAAAGTGACGAAGGAAGATTTATGGTATACTCCACCACTAGTAGTAACTTCCGGAGTTGATGTTGTCATATTAGTTGTTACCTACGAAAGATACAAAAGAATTTCAAATATAATTCGCTAAAATTTTAGGAGTAGAATTAAAAATATTACCGTATCTGTAGTGGATGTTTCTGCTCCACAGATGGCAAAAACAATAACGAATAAGAGAGCAAAAACGTGAAGAAAAGTTGCATAATTCATTTTTAAGCTGCAGTTGAAAATAAAATGAAAAATGTTGTATGAAAAAAAAAATAAGCATCTTTCTTGTCAAAGGAAATTTTATACCTACTTTATCGTTGGAAGTCTTTTGGTCCTCTCACTTTTGTTAGTTTTTAGCGAGTGGTGTATCTTTACCTTGTAGCTGTATTTATATAAAATATATCAGTCTATATTTACAGTATATATATGCCCCGGTCGTAAATACGTAGTCGAGGAATTGGTTAACAGCGACACCTATGTTGAATAGGACTTTAAAATTAAAATTTTTGTTTTAATTTCTGTTTTAAAGTTTTACTGTCTTAATATTTGTTCAAATATCATTGACTGATACATGTAACCGTAATTTTTATTTATATAAGAGATAAATAAAAGCGTTAAGCATTTAACTTATTTAAAGGACGGAAAGATATGAGAAAGGTGAAGGAGTAACGTCAAAATACTAAGATAAAAAGCCATAATTCTTAGTCTTTATTATCATCACGAAATTAGATTATTCATACAAGGATGAGGAGTATGATGGTTGTGAGTCATTTTAGGAACAAAATCGTGATTCTTTTGTTTTAACAAACAGTAATTAAGTTATTTTTTTTTATAGTAAAAAAAAATCGTAATTTTGTGGCTCGAAGTTGTGAAATTTTTTCGTCAATACTTAACACAGCCCATAAAAACTTCCGTGCATGTTTATATGCAATATTTGAGAACTTAAACTTTTAATAATGTTTATTTAAAAAACTTTAGAATTAATTAATTAATTATTAATTGATTGTTAATTCTAATCCCAATTTTCTTTTTTAGTATGTTGATTCTTTTAAACCCATTCGTTGATTATTCATAGATCTTGATATATCATAGGGATAGGGAATTTCACCTTCAGAAGCTTGGTTCAATCTTTTCATCTGTTTGAAAAATAAACATTAAATAGCAAAGATCAAATAAATGTGGTGTAATTAATGTTAATTACCTCTTCATCCGTTAAATTCCATCCACTAGAGACCTCCATTGCATCTCTTAGATGTTCTAGTTTTCTTGGACCAACGATTATGGAGGCCACTTTAGGGCGTTGGAGTACCCATTTCATGGCTACCTGAGCGGGTGGTTTATCTAATTTAAGGGGAAAATTATTTCAACTTAATATTTAGCAATTTTCTTTCTAATTGGAAAAAAGAAACCTTTGGCGTTTGCAATATCCTGTACAGTATCGAGAACACGCCACGTTACATCCTTATCGGCCAAAGTAGAATGCGAAACATTAGAAATGGCTGCCCTGTTTGAGGGATCTTGTTCTACCCAAGCAACTCTACTATCGGTGGGAGGAAGTTGGTTTCTCTTAATTCTACAATTTAGCCATCCTCCTTTCAGAGGTGCAAAGGCTAATATCGATACATTTTCATTTTCACATACATCGGTAATTTCATATTCGCCGGCTCTAGTTAATAGATTATATTGATTCTGGATTGATATTGCGCCTTCGAGACCCATAAAACGTGAGTAATCGCAAATTTTTTGTAGCTGCCATCCGGTAGCGTTACTAACTCCAATCTGTCTAATTAACCCCCGCCTTATCAAGTCGTTCATCGTTCTCAGAACCTGTTCGACTGAGGTGGCACTGTCCCACATGTGCAACTGATACAGATCGACAAAGTCCGTTTCCAAACGTTTAAGTGAACATTCAATACTATGCATAATATGCTTTCTGCTTAAGCCTACGTCGTTTACTCCTTTACTCATTGGTAAGTAGACTTTGCTGGCTATTACCAAATCATTACGAAGTGATTGATTCTTCGACAACCATTGGCCAATAATCTTTTCCGAATCTCCTGCACCGTACCAGTCAGCAGTGTCAATAAAATTGCCTCCAGCATTTACATACTCGTTCAGAACTGCATGCGATTCCTCAACAGAAAATCCAGGCCTGTTTTGCTGTTGACAAAAAACACTATCAGCTTTATTTTAGTCCATTTTATTCTTTTTAAATGCTATTCTAACGTGAAATTCTTACAAAATGTTTTCCAAAACTAGCTGTTCCCAAGCATATTTTGGATACTCTAGTACCTGAAGAACCTAAAAAACTGTAAGAAGAGTTGGCCATATTTCTTGCAGACTTAAAAAGATGACCTTTGAACTTTAAGAACGAAATATACTTTAAAAGCTCGGAATACGAACACTTTAAACGAGAGAGTTCAGTTCACAAAATACGAAACAAGTGTCGCCATCTATTTTCTATATCGAAAGCTACTCAAACTTCTTTTCGATATCATTGGCAATAGACTATAAAAACTACATCTAGAATTCATCGATTAGTTAAATTTGCACACAGCTATTACTATACTTTAACGTCTATTTCCGTTTCATGTAAACACTAACATAAAATTGCCGTTAAAGCTATACACAATCAAAATATATTTAAGTGATATTTTATGGAGAAAATATAAATAATTTTTAAAATTATAATAAAAATATAGATGGCGCAAGGTGTTTATATCTGTAAATGTATACCTCAATCTAAATCTTTCTTTTTATTGCCAAAGTAAATTACAACAAGCAGCGCCATCTATCGTATAATTTTCAAATATATGAAATAAATAAATTATAATGATTACATAATACGTTTTTTTTTCAGACTTAGCTTCAACTTATTCTTGAGCTACTAAACATTCCTAAAATTTCTCTATCGATATTAGATTGATACCGATTTTCATATATACAGTATATATATATATATGAAATATATTCTCTGTAGATGTATATAGGATAACATTCTGACATAAAAATATCATTATTATCTTTGACAGTTGTCAAATCATTGATAAACATTAAAGTAAAGAAGAATAAAACAAATTTGCAAAATTCTTCAAGCATCCTATAGAGTGCAAACAAGGTTAACAGATCTAAAGAGATCTGTAATCATTTATTTATCAACATTCTACTTCCGCATCATATAAAAAAAAATAAATATAAATATGATAAGGATTACATAAAAATTTGAAAATAATATTAACGATGAGTCATTAGTATTTAATCATTAAATAAATTTAAATATTTAAATAGTGTCTTTAACTGAAATTTGTAAAACTGTCAGTTGTCCAAATGCATGAGAAATATTCTCAATGAATTCATTGATCATTTAAGCTTTCATTAAAGCTACTAGTAATTATGAAGAATTTTCTTAAATCCAATGAAATAAATGAATGAAAGAGGTATTCACGAAAAATTAAAGGCGTCCTAAGTTCAAAGAGAAACGACTAATATCAGACTCCGCAGATGCAGGTACAATAATACAATAAATATCCGTTATGTAATAACCGTAATAAGGCTTACTATTCATTAAAGAGAGGTGTCATTAATCATCTGATCTTGGCAGAGAGTTAGTTGGTTCTTCTTTAGAGCTAGGTGTGCCGTGATTTCCCACGGGTTTCGACCTTTCTATCATCTTCTTTAACTGATTCCAAAATCGTTTATTTGTTGTGCAATAAATAAAAAAGTTTACTGAATGTTGAAGGCAAACTAACAGAAGTGAAATACTAGAAAGAGTGCGATATAGATTGCTCTGCAGTAAGTTATTATTATTTCTTGTTACCGCTGTAATAAAAGTTCTAGATAGGATTGAAGATGGTAGTTCACCAATTATAAAGACGAAAACAACAACAATTAACATCTTTGTAAGTTTTCTTTGATAAATTTCTCTATTTTTCGCTTCGTTATCCCTAGACGACATCATTTCCCGGTATTTTTTAGTTGCTCTTCGAACTCCAAATACTAAGAGGATATTCAAAATTATTAAAGATATAGTAGCGCCAACTGTAATTGTAACAAAATGAATCCACGTGTATATCCTAAATATCCGCTTTTTAGTGTAAGATTTCCTCTCAACGATTCCATTTCGTTCTCGAAACACGAAGAATCGTGGTAAACATAGAAAAAAAGCAAACACCCAAATGAAGATACAAATCCTTCTTGCAAGACTCCTTGTACCCAAAGATCTAGCTTTTAACGGATAAAATACAAACAAGCATCTCTCAGTACTGACCGCAACGGTTACCAAAACACTGACAGCGGAAGTAACTGATCCAACTGGCCAGTAAATATATGCTTGAATAATAGCCCATGCACGTTTACCTCGTCCATGCGATTTTGAAATCGTAAATAGGGCGAAAGCAAAAACTGTTAATAAATCGGCAATTGCTAAATTAATTAAATAAACATAACAAGACTCTCGAAAGTAGCGCCTTCTTATTAACAGCAACGCAATTGTTAGAGCGTTTAATATAAAACCAATACCGGTTACTGGTGGAATTACGTAACCATATATAACTTGTTCAATTTTTAGTTGAGGCGTTGTTGCATTCATCTTTATTGTTCTGGTAAATTTGGGAAAAGAACCATAGACTAAGCTTAGATAATATATATATATGTATACAGTATATATATATACTCAGTATCACACGGCTGAGTAAATAATTGGATTTCAAAGAATGATGAAGGAGAAGAAAACAAGAGATATTGTCTCCTTCCTACTTTATTTGATAATCTCCTACATGTAATCTCTTCCCGTCTAGTATTGATTCTAAGATCCAAATACAAAATCCTTGATACGGAAGAAGAAACGGTTGCTATCACCGCTTTAACCCACTTAGCCTTCATTGCCATCATTATATTATTAAGGGTATGTCGGTTTTGTTATTTTTTGCTAATTCCTTTCTATAAACTCACTCAGTTGCTCTCAAAGTTTTCCTTTTCCTTTTAGATTAAAATAAATATTTGGAATGGAAAGTAGCTGAATTCAATTGAGCAAAGGCTAAAACTAACTGAATTAGGAAAAGCGTCTCTTTCTTTAGTAGTATCGTTTTATAAGTTATTTATTAAAATTATTTCAATATATAGATATAATTTATATATAGATATAAAAAACATTCATTATTCCCTCAATTAGTCAAAAATCCTTATCTTTTATCTCAATTCTGTATTATTTTTACATATTGTTTTCTCGTTCTATTATTTCTTTGGGTAAAATCCTATTTATGTAACCTTGCAACAAATTTTGGACATAAGACAATAATCTTATTACATTTTTAAAGAGTTTATTAAGCGGTGTTAACTCATTGCATTTTCTTACGTAAGTCGAATTGTATGGGGTCGGACATTGTTAAGACGGATATTATGGAAAATGGTCAAGCAAAGAGTGAATTTCCTTGTTATACATAAAAAGAATTTACATACGCAAACTGGAAAAAGTTAGAGAGAGAGAGAGTTTATACTGTATATTGTATAAATGTATTTCTATACTAATATATTTGAGATATAGGCACAATTTACAACAGTTTTCAACGTTTCTATTTTGTTGTTTAACTAAGAATTCAATAATCATTCATTAAACAGTTTACTTTGTTTAAAACTCAACAAATAAACAGTAAGGAAATAGAGAGAAAGAGTCAGGAATATTTTTTATTAAACATAGATAGAACATCTATGAACGTAATCGACCTCCGTTGCACGTTGAAGGATCATTGTCCGCTCTCTCTGCTTTCAAAACATTTACACGGTATTCATTCTCTTTTTCTTTTAATATATTTTGTAAATGTTGAATGTATTTGATTGCTTGGCGAAGAGTTTCCACTTTACTAATTCTTTTATCCCTTTGCTTGATCGGAAGATGAGACCTGGATGGTTATTATTAAAAGTTAGTTAATTATCAATGTAAAAGAACTTGTTGAAGTTTGATACAGTATAGTTATTACTTAGATTTTATTATAATTATTTTATAATTCAAAATAAACTTTATATTACTAACCTTAACCTCGCATAACCTTCATTGACACATCGAACTCTTTCTCGTTCTCTTTCGTTTCTTTTCCGAACAGCTCCATTCTCACATGAGATAAAACAGGGCAGTGGTATTTGGCTTCTTGGAGAAAATGGACTATTATCAAAGCTAAGCGAAGCTGCACTAAGTCCAAGATCTGAACAAGATGGAGAAGTTAGAGTCGTTTCTTCTAAATTCATAGCGTCCTGAAATGTGACGTCGAGTGCCGTGACGTTGAAAATGCACCTGTTTTCAGCTCGGCGTTCATTGGTTAGGGATGTTTACTTAGCTGTTCGATAATATATAATCATTTGCAATTACTGATGTATGGAAGAGAGCTTTTATTCCAGCTCCCTCTACGAGATATATAGAAAGTAAAGGAGATACCTAACATAATTCATTTTTGCTGGAAATGCAAACTTAAAAAAATAACAAACCTTAACAAACAAATTTAAAAAATTACAGTTAAATAAAAAAAACTGCTTTTTTATGTATCTGCAAACTTCGACAAACAAGCCGATTTCTTTTGAAATTGTTCAATTTGAAACTTACAAAAAAATCTTACACCCTTAATTGGTTTTAAGAAGAAAAAAAAGGAACTTCAAAGAATTCCGCTTACATTGTTGAGCAAATAGAAAAGGAAAACGTCACTTAATCATCAAAAGAGAAAGGAATTAAATCGCGATAATACTCTTGAGATAATCTCTTAGAACATGATTATCCCATTAAGAAAAAATGTAGAAAGATATAGACACCGGTAGTCTAATTTATTGGTTAATAATAACCAATCACAAAGGCTTAATCAGAAATTAATTAATTTCTCCTTATGGGTTAGGCTAGCAATAAGAGCGAAAGAAAAAGATCAAGTAAAGCTAGATCATTTTTCACGCTGTTCTCAAGTTATGATCCGATTATACAGAGGCGTGAAACATGGTAAGAAGGTGGAGAAAGAAAGTAGAAAAAGAGAATTCAAAATCAAAAAGGCGTCTTTTGATCGCGCTCGAGGCGGAGACGGCGGACACGTGAACGAGTGAACACAACAGATTACAGTCAATTAAATACGTTTGATATTTAGAGTGATCTGTGTTTGTACTTTTACAGTTAACCCTTTGACCGAGTTTCACATTTCCGCTTCTTTATATATATATTTTGAATAAATGTTAACAAACATAGAAAATATGTAAGTTATTATAATAACCATAATATTAAAAAAATATGAATATTCATGAATAAAAAAAATGCATATATAAAATTTAAAAAGTTAATAGTAAAAAATTGTTAAAAATCGATTAAGCATATTTTTGTCTTTGTTTGTCTTTTAAGGAATGTTAAAAAAAAACCACATGATTCACGTCGTAGATTTAATGGCACAAACGTGCTTCTTCATTAATTTCATTCTTTAACTAATCTATAGATATGATGCTGGGCACCATGGGATGTCGCAACTTCAAAAACGTATGCCATACATAGAAGCGTCTCTTGGCTATCTCTATTAGTCACCACCTGTTGTATTATCATTTCATATTAAAAGATAAGAAGAATTTTGGGATATTTAAATAAAGATAAAAGAGGAATTGCAAAAATTCTATTCTTACCTGTAAGATAGTGAAATTCTCTAGGACCGAATTCATCATATATTTTTCGGGTAATTGCCTTAGTTTCATGATAAAATTTATCATGTACTCGCACATAGGAGATCTATGTATTTTGTATACGTATTTTCCTTGATCCAGTACAGGATATTCAGTTTCAACCTTTTCAACCACTTGTTTACCGAAAGAGCATACTTTAGTGCTACTTTGAATTGTCATATTTTCAGCTGTTTCAAATTGAGCTGTTACACCATAAAAAATATCGTCACAACTTGATTTTGGCATATTCAGATCAGCCCAAAATTTTACAAGATAGAAAGAATCTTGTGGACCTTTTTCGTATAATTCTTTCAATCCTCCCTTTCTATCAGGGAATTTATCGTAAATTTGTCGGATATCTACTGCCTGAAAAATTAAAAAAAATTAATTAGTTAAATTAATATTATTAATAGTATTAATTAATCTTCCATTAGCAAGCTAAATGACTTAAAAAAGTCCTTCACTAATTGGCTCGAATAATAAAAGTTGGCAGATGGTATCGGCCAAAATCAAACATCTGTTTATCACTATATGCCAATCGAACGATCAGGGGGGGCTTGCTTAAGGGTCTTAATTTTTTTAGTCGTACCTCTAAAAGTGGATCGTTAAGGGAAAATGTATTGGAAATTTGGACGTAAACGTGCTTGTGATAGCGTTCAAGGTTTTGGCTCTCTTCGTAGGCGGAGTATTCAACCAGCCTGAGGCGAGGCCCAGCAAGACTTCTTCCAGTCCAGCAGCTTAGTAATAGGGTATCCTGAGTTGCATAAGGGCTTCCTGGGGCATTCGGTCGGTACATCGGAATTCTGGCTGGTGTCGTTTGCCAGTACTGTCAAATATGATACTCGGTTAATTTTTTAATTACTACTTTGAAACCTATTCGATACTTACGGGTGATGCTCCATAGCCGACAGGTGGCAGAGTCCCAGGTCCTGGAGGGACAGCGGCTCCACCTGGGGACATTGGGTCAGGGGCTCCTCCGGTATTTGGCATGCTCTTGTTTTGAAGGGCTGAGGCTGAAACAATTTGAGCACTGGACATTGAGGACAATTGTTGCGCAGCTTTCTCTTTCGATTGTATATCTTTCATCTGAGATTGAATTTCTTTCGATTTACGCCTTGCCAACACCTGAATGTGACTAGAAACTTGCTTCCTTGACCTCGATTTTCCAGTACGCATTTTAATATATCGAGCGATAAGCTCATTTCGCCCATACATTTTGCCCTCATCACTTAAAATTATTTTACGTCTTCCACAAGGTGGGTAAATGGCCAGCGCTTCCTGAAAGCTCTGTTCAATATCCGGACTCCAAACGCCTTCCGCGTCGCTATTCAAGTCAGTTGAATTAGCGTCGTTATTATTTTCCACACTACAACAGTCGTCGATATCGGAATTCTCTTCGTTCTTTATCCTATCACTAATATGAGTAGGCGTATGAGATGTTGGAGGCCATCCAGCCATGCTGCCGTCTAGAAAATGATAAAGGAATGTCATAATTCAAATATTTAACGTTCCAAATGATAACAAGGAATGTGCATAGAAAAAAAACTCAAAGTAAAATTGACGTTTAAATGTTCAGCTATTAATTGTCAATTGGTTTACATTTGGCTTCGCAGCTGTTCTCAGCTTGCATTACATAACCGCTAAGAAGATCGTCTGTATAGCGCCCAATAGTTACGAATAGCAACTGACGCCCAGTAAACGTTCTAGAAAGTTTTTTTAGGGGCAGGCATGGCACGCGAGCCTTCTACCCCCTACCCTACCTGTCTATTTCACCTCCCTGGAACAATTATTCACAGTAAATAGATGGCAGAGTTGATTTTAGAATTATACGGATATTTGAAAACGAAAATAAGCTAAGAGTAATCACCATATTTATGTAAATAAATAGATGGCAAGATAATTAAGAAGAGAAATGGAGAGGGGAGGATCGATATTTATTTCTTTCCTTTTGTATTATAGTATATGGCCCCGGTCGAACCGTGTGTAAGAGACAGGTGCTCAGCCGTTAGGTTTGAACGTGCACCTTCTATTGTTTGGAACGAGCGACAGGTGCAGTTGATGCAGGGCGTCACATTTAAGCCTATACAAGACGCATGGTGCCTTGTGAACCATAGTTTAAAAAAAGAATACGACACGTTCGGATAGAAAGAAAGAGAGAATATTGGGAGGGGTAAAAAAAAATTACTATTTAGAATTGGTATAAATATAGGCGAGTTAACGACCTTTCGAAGCGTTTTATTGCTGGCCGTAACTGGCCTATAAAGGCGACGCGCGCTTGAACAACCGCTTCAAAGGCATAGGTCTTGAATTGGCTGTGGCTATTTAATATAGGCTATACTCACACATAACTGCAGCAGCATTTGGCGGTGGAGGCGAGTAGTAGGGATGGGAATAGGCGAGGGAAGCCGTTTTAATATCCAGTTTGGCAATATATGGTAGAAATATTCAATAAAAAATAAGTTTTTATTTATAGAATACTGGAGGAAAATTGAGAAAATCAGTCCAAAACAAATCAGTCGTTTTCCAAATAAGATGATAAATAATTTGATGAAAATCTAAAAACAAATTTGTGAAAATTTAAAAAAAAACCAAGCGATCGTCTGAACGCGGTGTGAACGGCGGACGTCTGCCAACTAAAGTGTGCACGCGCGTAGTAAAAGACGGTCGAGCCAGAATTAAGGGCAGGTGCTTTAAACAGGTGACGCTGCTTTCAGCCTATATTAAACTGGCTTCTATGTTTGAATTAGTTTCGAATGCCTGCATATTTCAAGTCCTAAATTATTCAGTTACAACTTGGAATAGAAACAAGAAATTCCTTTTTCCTGTTTTTTTCTTGCTAACATCCTGGGTTTCCCTGGTTTTTTTTGTGTTTTCTTCGCCTATCGCTAACAAACAAGACTGATTAAATAGAGTGAGTTTGCTTTAGAACGGCTGTTTGTCCATCATCGACTTATTAATTTTAGCGTATCATTTCCTCGATATTTTTTAAATTTAATTTTGAACTATTCTCTATTTAGATCTACGGGTAATTTTAATTGCAAATCCTGAAGAAGGATTGATGGGAAGGGCTTGGTAATGATGTCGATCAGTTCAATTTCGTGTCATTGGCATGATTGCTAACATGTTTTTAAGAATAATCAAGCTTAAATCGGAATGTTGTACTTTAACTGCTATTTTCTTATTAGTATTTATTATCTTGTACCCTGTTTTTTTTTCGAAGTACAAACCTGACTATATGCAGGAATTTAGCAATACTTTGACTAGAGTAGCAGATCAGGAGAGAAAAATGGTTGTTATTTCAGCAACAGATTTGGGATATATTGATTTGGCCGTCAATTTCTACTTGTCTTCTATCAAACGCCATAAAATCTCTAACTTTCTTTTCATCTGTCTACATCCGGAAGCGTGTAGAGTCCTCCGTCAGTTTAGTGATCGAGTCGAAACGTTTTATGGAGGGATAGTTGAGTCTGCCGACAGACCGAGCAACTTTTTTTCGAGAGAATTCAATGAGAAGACACATGCCAAATTAAAATGGGTAATAACTGCATTGAAAATGGGCTACAATGTTTTACTATCAGATGTGGACATTCACTATTTTAAGAACCCACTCGGAACACTTTATAGTCATCTACGAAAATGTGACATTCAGATCCAATGGGACAGAGATGAGTTGGAAATGAAATATAATTCAGGATTCTATTTCCTGAAGGCTTCTCACCTGACAGTTGAATTGTTGAGGAGAGCCATCTGGTTGGCGGAACACGATAATTTTACGCAATCTGATCAGTACTATTTGAACACGGCAATAAGATATTCAGTCTCGAAATTCGGGTTGAAGTTGTGCGAATTAGATAAGTCGACGTTTCCTTGTGGGTCAGTTTATTTTCATGAGGGTCAACGGGAATTTTACGATGATTCGCCTTGCAAAGATTGCGTCATAGCTCACAATAATTGGATTATATCAGCGGCCAGTAAAAGGTATAGAGCCAGGGAGCATCTGTTTTGGAACGTCGACATTCCAAGCGGATACTATAGCGCGAAAGGTCGAAAATACTTGACGTATGATCAACAAAGGACGCCGTCAAAGAACAAACAGCTGCGAAATTTAAAAAGAGCTCTCTGCCTAGCTGAAAAATTAAATAGGCTTGTCGTACTACCTAAGTTCTTTTGTTTAGAGCAAAAAGTGAGACTTTGCAATCTATTATCAATTGTTAACCAAACAAATATGGACGCTTTTGAATTAGTCTATGGGAAATTTTATAGAGAATACTCATTCTTGAACAACAAACTCGTACCTAACGAAATTAGAAACAAAAATAATTGGAAAAAGATAAAAATAGGGTCGTGCCGTAATTTACATTCAATTCAAAGCGATTTCAATAGATATCCTGTTTTGCAATTATCATTTGAATGGGACACGTGCAAATGCAAATTTGGAAAGGATTCTATCTAAAGCGCCATCTGTCGTGTATACAAGATACTATAAGTTTATGCTCCATTTCCTAATTGGTTCCACGTGAAATTGGAAAGTGTTTGTCTCGTAAATATTCCATAAAACTACCTTATCCATTAAGCGCTTTAATTAGACTTTATATATATATATATATATGTATACTATATGTATATAGATGAATTAATATTTGTTTATAAACCCTGATTTAAGGAAATGGTTTTTCCTCTCTATTTCAATCTTTTTCAGTTCCCCAACAGGATTCTCTTTTTTTCATTTCCTTAGTGTTTTCTTTCTCCTAATTTACGATTACAAAGTAATTTATTTTTATCAATGGTTGAGTATTTTAAAGAAGATAACCATTATCGGTATTACAGAAATTTACCATTTCTTCAATATGATAATCAATGCTTAAGTAATCTTGTCTTTTTTTGCTGCCATTTTCAATGAAATATATACTGCTAAGATGTTAGACAAAGTTTTCTAGAGTATTAGGTCTTTTTATTCCCGGTTGAATACAGCCATGTTTAAAAGATACTTCTTGACATGTTGAAGAAGAAATCAAGCCTATCTAAGCTTTGTAAGAGAACAAGAAAAATATTTTTCGATGATAATTGATACCTGAGAATTTTCCAATGAGACTTTCATCATTCTCTTTGCTTTTTTTTTGGTTGTTTATATGTCTATGAATCGTAGTGAAGAGGTCCTTTAGTTTTTTCCTTGGGAGTTATTTACTTGTTCTAATGATATAAAATTGATTTTTCTCTTTTTATTATTCCCTTCTTACGTTTTAACGATGAAGAGGGGCTTATCTCCTTTCTTGTAGATTTTCTAATTGTACAAATCAACTTGACCTATTTATCAAGTTTTCCATCTTTACCATGCGTGGGTGTTGAGTTGAAAAAATTCACTCTCACGGATATTCTTATTCTTATTTTATATTGATTGAATTGCTAGGTAATCCGTTTGATCATTTAAGCCTCAAGCCTAAATCAGGTAAGATTGAAGAAAGTGATATCATTTATCGTGATTTCTTCCAGTTTCCACAGAATATAAGGGAGTAACGTCTTCAGCCAGAGTTTCATCTTTGAAATATATATATATATATATTGAAATTTTCTTGATGTTTAACTTCCATAATAATCTTTCAAAAAAAACAATAATATAATGGTCAATTTGTACAAGGCAAAAGAACATCGAAAGACTTTTGTATTACGCTATAACTTTCATTATCTTATTAGCTATCATGAACATGGTTAGTTAAACTGCTATTTATAAGAAAATTGATTATATCATCGGTTATTGATTCATTAATGAAATCTTAGACAAATTCAAGCGTTTAAAATCGATCCTATATACAATTGGGCACAAGAAGACACAAGTTTATTTCACTCCAAGAATACAACCGAGGAAAGAACATTAGGAATATTTTAAGTATATATATATATGAATGTACTGTATATATATATATATATTATATTTTTTGTAATTACAAAAGAGTTTCTCTATTACACTTTTGAATAATACACATTCTTCTCATTGGGCCAGATTTGCTACCGCAATAAGAAACAATACAATCGTATAGACCCAAACGATAACGTTTCCTTCTCATATTACTTTCGGTACATTTCTCTCTCATGCATGATTCTCCATTCCTCTCCGTTAAACAACGCTCTTTTAGCATGCAAATGAATTTATCAGATACGTGAGATGTTCTAGTAAAGTTATTTTCTTCGATCAGCTTACATTCGTTCAAACATTCTGCCATATTATTAGAATTCTCACAATTTAAAACGCACTCTCTGTCCGAACAAGCCGCGAGATTCTCGATCGGTATGGAACTAAGGCACCTAGTCCAGTCCCTCCCAACACAGTAGCCTTGTTTCCACAAGCAAGATTGGAACGAGATAATATCATCGAATGATATTGACCCGACATTCTGAGAGGTTGGAAGGCCTAGACAAGGTGAGAAAGTTTTCAAAGTTAATCTTAAAGACTTTTTAGTCTATATGTACCAACCAATCGACGTCGACATGCTTAAATAGATGAAAAAGGCTGCGACGCCGTTCTTCATTTCCATCTTACCTCTGTTAGTCCAACCCTTTTGGAAGTGAAAGAAGAAAGAATTATAAATTGAATAAATAATAGAATACTTATCATAGGTAACGAAAAAAACTTGGAAGCAACTCACAAGCTACTTGAAAAAATTATAAACGTTCTCCCACCGACTCCTACAACGCACTAATGGAAGCGTCTAAACGGTGGGGCGTCTTTTATTCTTAAGCGATAATCTGGTAAGATGAGAACGGCGGCGTCTTTTTTTATTGTTTTACCAAGTCATCTTCAATTCCCTATTTATTTATCTTATTGAACAAATTTTTCCCTACTTAGGCACTCAATAAATGTTGAATGATAAATCCAAAAGGAAGGTTTTTAATATTGAAACGAAAAGCATTAATCTCTTCCGTCCCTCCCCAAAACCAAGATGTATAAATAAGAGATTAAAGTAATACGGATCTAGGTAATATAATATCGATAAGCATTGGTGTAGGCGGTTATTGATAATATTTCGTGGAGACAGCTAAATTTAGCTTTTGGTAAGATTGTGTTGCGATTTTCTTCTTATAAATTTCTGTGAGCAATCTATACTAAGCCTTAAGATTATTTCTTATTTTTGATAACTCTAGCAAATTTCGTCTTTAGATATCTCTTTAACTTTTTAAAGAAATATTACGAAACATATCCTTCCCGCGCTTTTCCTATTTAACCGATAAAACGATACGTTAACAAAAACATGTATAATATTATATTGAATAGTACATAGTATATAACAACAGTTTATTACCACTAGGTTATCTTTTAATTATAATTCCTTTCGATATTAATAGATTTGAATGCGTTGACGGATCATGTCAACTTCTAATTAGCCTCTAAGGTTTAATCGTATTTTAAAGAATTCTAACGAAAGATACTTAAATACTCCATAATAAAATTGAAATATGGCAAGTATAAATTCTATTTTGAAGCTTTCTTCTTCTGATGAATGCATTTATAGTGTTTCTCTTTATTTTTTCTCTCAAGCAAATATTTGAGAAAAGAGAATAAAAAGTATATTTAATTAACAATTGAATAATGACTCTATATTTCTATATTTTTATTCATAAACAGTAATGAGATTGCAACATGCATTAATAAAAAACACTGATTAAAAAAACTTAATACGAGCAGAGAAATTTGTGTTATAAATATATACAAATGATTTCTCTGAACGAACTAAGAAAGGCACCCTATTTCTTAAGAAAAGATGAAAGCCTGTTCATTGCCATTATTGCTCTAGTGTGGGCCTGTTTAAAATGAAACAAAATTTAGTACAAATTGATAAAAGATTAACTATATGTTAATATATACAGTAGATACATATATTATTCATAATCATAGGATAATGTTTGAAAAACAAAGCAATAAAATCATTTGTAAACTAGATTTATGTCTGAAAGTGATTTAAATTGATTAATCAGAAATTAGGTGTAATAATTGAAGAATGACTAGCAAACAACAATAAAACGTTAGCTGTGAGGATTTGTTGATTGATAAAAAAAAACAATTGGTAAATAAAAAGTATAAAAAGTATAATTTATTGAAAAAAAATTTGTATTTAGCGAAGCTTTAAAAAAAAAGAGAACTTTTTAGTTTTTCTATTTAAAAAGGACATTTTCAAACCCGAGATTTTATTAAACTAATATATAGTACATATATATATATATATATATATATTAATATATACTGTAAATATGTGTACTTAAACCAAAAATAGTGTAAAAACTATATATATATGTATAAATAGATATTAATGAGAAAAATCAACATCATCAAAAATATCGGTATAGAAAATTGTCCTTTTCTGTTTTATAGCTTTAAATATATATATATATGTATTCTGTTTTTTTTTCTTTATTAGGATCGACTATGAAAATGTTTAGAAGATCAAAACAATAAAAAAATGACCATTTTTAGCGGTACAGAAAATAAGTTGTGTAAAAAATAAATTGCTCACTTAATTAGATGTGTATTTTTGTTTTTTTTTTGGTTTTGTATAAGTTTTCTACTGACACTGCTTGTTTTTTGTTAAGATGAACAAAAACAAAAAAATTTGGTTTTGAATAAAACAAAAAAAAAAAAAAAATTTGAGCATCAAAGAGATAAATGAAATATTTTATAATTATACCTGCCACTTTCTACGATTCATAAATGAACGAAGTTTTGTTGTGTCAATTGGAACATTTGGTAATTTATCTTTACCAACAGTTAACCAATCATCGGATAAACAATCCTTAGCTAACATACGACGCCTGGTTTTGAATATTTTTATAGAAACAATCAATAGTTTTTAATACATATGACAAATAATATTATATTTTCATTACCTTGGCCGTTTCTGTAATAATTTTGAGATAAAATTTTTACCCAAATCGCTAATTATGTCAAATTCTTCTGTAAAATCATATTCTCCACTAGTAACATTTGTAATAGTTTCGTCGTCAGTTTCACCAGCAAATGGGGCAATTCCAGACAATCTATGATAAATATAAATTGTTATAATCCTTAATAATTTTTTTAATAATTAATATACAATAAGCTATATATTTATTTTAGTTCTATTTTTACTTACAGAACGTAGCAAATGACCCCTACACTCCACATATCGGTGGTAGTACTAATTGGATCATAGTTGAGAATTTCTGGAGCAGCAAATTCAGCAGTTCCTTGTAGACTTCTATTATTCATATCGTCGGTTACGTTTAATTTTTGGGCAAGACCAAAGTCTATAATTTTTATTTTAGTGCCTTCTTTCGAAACACATACGATATTTTCAGGCTAAATGGAAATATAAAGGCCGTATTAGATAGAGAAATATATAAGTAAACATATTAGAGAAAGGTGATGAAGGTATACTTTCAAGTCCAAATGTACGATAGATTTTTCGTGCATATATTGGCAACCTTCGCAAATTTGCCTAATGTAACCGATACAGTCTATTTCTCGTACAACTTTTTCATCAACTACTTTCTCGAACAATTCACCACCAGCAACGCTAGAACGATATAAAAGGTAAAATGACACGAATTTTATGAGTATTTAGTAAACATTGAATAGCTTACAATTCCATTACCAATACGCATTCGTTTCGATTTATAAAAGCGTCGTAAGCAATTAATAGTCTTGGATGACGCAGTTCGTTCATGATATTTAATTCATGCTGAACTGTTTGCCTTGCCGCTGCACCTCTCTTCTTTATTACTTTGCACGCTAGATGGAGCTTTGTCTCATTGTCAACGCAGTGGTGAACATCTCCAAATCTTCCACTAAGCAATTGGTATTGAAAATAAGGAAATCAGATAAAACCTCTAAAGATACACACACACACACAGAGAGAGAGAGAGAGAGAGAGAGAGGGGTGGGAGGGGAGAGAAAAGAGAGACAAGGAGTAATAAAAATGTTAAAATACCTGTTAATTTTCTCTCCCATTTGATAAAAATCGGCGAATTTTTCACTTGTTCTAGGCTCTACTTCTTTAGGTTCGAAAGGGTAGTCTGATTCCTCAACTGTTTCTCTTCTTAGAGTTCTGACAATGTCACTAATTTTCTCTCTCTTCCTTGCCGTTTCAACACTTTCGCGAGTTTTCATAGGAATAACTTTAAATTTATATTCTGTATCTTCTTCTAAATTTTCGATGGCATATTCAGTATCCTAATAAAACCATTTACATTGAAAACAATCACACTAACTCGCTCAGAAAATTTAATTTATTTTCGAATTCAAACTTACTCGGTGCATTTCACAGGCAACGACCCATTTATCTTCTGATAGTTTATTCATTTCAACTCTATACCGCAGTAGACGATTCACATTTTCCTTATTTTCACATTTAGTCCAAGAAAGCATAACCGAATTGTATGTGCAATTAGAAATTTCCAGACTACTTATGAATTCTTCGACTAATACCGTACTATCCTCCGTATCGGGTTTAGATATGGAAGAGAAATCTTGGGATGATCTATCAGAAACCGCTTTAGACATTGATCCGAAACGAGAATAATCTAAGTAAAAACAAGTAATATAACAAAAATCCCATTTTGGTAAAAAGTTTGCAATTGCCAGCCTATAGCGGCCATTTAGAAATTCAAATAAAAATATACATAAAAACGATGTAGCGCAAAGTTTATAATCTTACCGAGCACATTTATAAAACAGCTACTTTCGGCAATTTCGCCAATTTCATTACAAATTTCAACGCAATATTCTCCTTCTTCTTCACGATTAACATCAGAAATTAATAAAGATGCTTGCTTATTGTCAAAATTCATTTGGACCGATTTACTCTTAGGCTGAAAAATTGTAGCAATAAAACCATTGTGTTTATAATTATCGAGTATATCACTAACAATTACTTCCGTGTATAATAAAACTCGTAAATAAAAAGAAAGTGCCTTGTTAGCTAGAAGATTGGTACATTAAATATTTTATGCTCATAGATTATGGACATTATTTGCACTATGCTTTAAAAGTATAATAATTATGAAAGGAGTTTAAAACTATAAGTTATAGTTCATATATTCCATTGTGACTTTCATCTAACATCCCTCTGCTCTTGTGTATTAAATGAGATACAATTTTAATTATACTTATTTGTAAAACAAATTTTCATCGGATGATTCGATTATTAAATGGAAATTATATAGGCTTTTTCCACTATATACAATATATACTTCGTGTGAGGGATTTTTGTCGTATAAATATAAAATTTTACTTTCTCGCACAAAGCATGCCTAAAACTTCTATCAACTTACAATAGCTTAATGCTTTATATAATTAATAAAGTATAAGTTTACATTCATACCTTTACAACTTGGTTGTCTTTATACCAAGAAACGCTGGTGATTGGATGTTGACTATCGAATTTTAACTGAAGCATTAAAACGTCCCCACTCAAGACTTTAGCATTTTTTAAATCACGTAATATCTGAATGGAAGAATCATCGTCGAGTAGTTCGTTTTGTACAGTCTGAATTCTCTCTGGTGGTTTTTCTTCAACAGGTGGTTCAGGTTCTGGTTCTTTTTCCACGGGAGGAGGTGATTCTAGTGAAGAGTTATCAGTTCCATTTATATTTTGGTTAATGTCTATTTCCTGCTTTGTAAAAGAACTCTCATCTTCTCGTTCTTTTTTATTCATAGTCCTCCGTCTCCTATCTCTCAGCTTGCTTTGAATATCTCCAAATTGTTCAGTCTCGTCTAAACTCTCTCTGCTTCCAGCAATTCCAGAATCTAAATTTTTAAATGGTGGTTTCAGTTCTTCCATTCGCTTTGGTTTATTCACTATCACTTTACATGTACTGTCTTTAAAACCGTACTGATTACGTACTTTTACTAAATATTTTCCATGATCTTTATCTTGAATTTGACGGCAAACTAATGTAGAAGAAACTTTATCTGTAATTATATCGATTCTATCATCTGTATATTGCTTTATTTCAAGATCTTCGTGCTTCCATATAACGCTAGGAGAAGGGATGCCAGAAAAAGTTGTTTTTAAATACAAGGTTCCTCCTTCTGTGACAGATTGATCGTCTAATTCTTTAAGAATTTTTGGCTTATCTTCCCTCCCAACATTGGTTTTCAAGAGAGATTTATAATCAGGAGCAGTAGATTTCGCTTCTGTCCTTGGAATGGAAAGTTCTGTTTTATTTGACAAAAGATTTTCACTTGATGCTGTCTTCCTAAGTTGAAACCTTGCGTTATGAATTTGCTTTTTTCCAGAATCATCTTCTTTGAGAGGTTCTTTATCATCAGATTTCGAGAGTGTTCTACTTTTTTTCTTGAGCACCTCCCTAAAGTCAACTTGAAGCGGTGGCGAAGCAATTGTTTTCTTCTCTAAATGATCAAAATTAGATTTCTTCTTTAGAACGGATAAATAATCCATTTTTGTTGTTGTTGTTGTTGTTACTGGCTGAGGTGAAGGCGACTGTTTAAAGCTGGAAGACTTTTTCAAAACATTTCTAAAATCTGTTTGTCTGGGTGGAGTACTTAAGGTCGCACTGGTGTTCTGGACTTCAACATGACGAACTAATGCATCTTTATAATTAATGGAATCTTCACTGGCCTGGGAGGAACCACGTGGACTTTGCTTGCTACTTGATCTCTTTGTGAATTCTCGATCTTATAAATGCACAATTGTTAGAACCTATAAACTATTTCTATGTTGTGGTATGATACCTCTGACTGTCAAATTACAAGTAGATTGTACTTTCCCATAATCATTAGATAGTCTAACGCATATCTGTCCTGCATCGTCCATGAGGGCTTCGATAATTTTTAAAGTTGCTTTGTTAGAGCTTGTATCTATTTCGAAGTCATTCGGCCCGTCGAGTTGTTCGCCTTTGCTAAACCATTCGGCGGACACTGGTTTACTAGAGTAAAATTCGACCTCAAATGACACTGATTTGCCTTCCATTACAGTTTGATTTTTTAGTTCCTTTTTAATTTGAGGTGGTTTTCGAGATATTTTTACATCTGAAATATGCGATATCAAAAAAGAATAATAACTTAATTTAGTAGGTAAATATACCTTCTACTTTTACAATGCAAGCTGTTTGAATTGAAGTTCTTCCATTTGTGGCTTTAGCCATTACCTTTCCAGAAAATTCTCTTGTAATATTAGCAATAGATAAGCAAGAGTAACCGTTATCACTGTCAATGAAAATTTCATCTGTTGGCTCTAATCTTTTATCTTCACAAAACCAGCTAATCTTGAGAGGAATAGTGGATGCAAATTCACATTCTAATGTCAATTCGTCACCTTCTTTCAACTGTTATAATAAAATCATTATATGTAATAAATCTATATATATGTTTGTTATAATTTAAGGCTTTAAACGTACTGTAACATCATGTAAAGGATGTTTTACTTCTGCAAGAGAACCTCTTGAGTTTGAAATTCTTCTTTCAGTTCTGAGAATAAGCAAATATATACTTCTTTATTAAATAAATAGTGAAATTTTACCTTGAACTTTCAAAAACTTCGTCGATATCCGTAGATCTTCTTCGATCGGCACAATGAACATTTAACATGATAGAACATTCAGATTTTCCTGCAGAATTTTCCACTATACAAGTATAGTTTGCGGAATCACTAGCTTTAGCTGAGTCTATTCGCAAAAGACAAGCATTGTCTTCAATAAGATCTTTAAACCTTTTGTCCATGTTCCGGTTTGTGATAATTCGATCGTCCTTCAACCAGTTTACAGTACATTTGTTTAAAGAATTAACGAGACATCTCAATTCGATGGAATCTCCTTCTTTAGAACTTGTAGAGTATGATTTAGTTATAATATCGGGTTTTTTTATCATTTCTAAAATGATAATAGATTATGAAATATTTAATTACTTGTTCTTGATTGATTTTACTTACCTATAACAGTAATTTTGCATGAACACTGATCATTTCCATTTTTGGCACTTACGAAAAAGTCATATATTCCAGCACATTTATGGGTCACTTGGTGAATTTCAATATTATAAACATTTCCTGACGAAGAACACTTTAAATTTGGTGATGAATTAGATATAGGTTTTTTATTGTGCATCCAGCGTATTTCAGGTTCAACACATGATGGATCAATTTCAACAGTTAATAAGCAAGTGCTACCTTCATCTATATTCTCATCATGAAGAGGCCTTAATATACAACTTTCCAAAGGTTTAGCTGTATCAACATAATAAAAGTGTTTTATTTACGTTTTTTTGATTAGAATGAGTCTATAAATTATGTTTTAAAAGTCAAATAGTCAACTCATTCGGGACATTGATAAAATTTTGATATGTGAATTAGATATAATAAACATTGTAAGGTTAAAAAAAAAACTTTTTGACTAAAAAAAAAGTATCCGAATTTTAATTAAAGTATGTGGGAAAAAGAAAGAATTTATGATTATATAAATTAGAAATTTGGCCTATAAAGATAAAAAAAATTTCTTACAAAAGTATAATTTTTTTGTTAACTTAAATTAAAAATATGCATATCTGGGTAGCTTCAAGTAAGAAACAAGCTCCATATTATAAAAATGATAAGAATCCGAAGAGTTTCAAGTAAGAAAGTAAAGTAATAAATTTACCAGCATAACAGTGTGAAATATGTTAAATATTCAATATTTCTATTAAATGAGTAAAGAAAGGAATCAATGGTACCCAGTTGAGAATGAATAGCAAAATACTATTAGACTTATTTTACTACGTATTCTATCCTATTTGTTAGCAATTATAAATAATTATATAGTGAAATATTTCCTCACGTTTAACGGAAAGTTTACAAGAGCAATTAATTTGAGCGTCTCCTTTCCTAACATATAACGAGTACAAGCCGTCATCTTCTGGAAAAAGTTCCTCAAATATTAATCTGGCTATTTTACCATCAAATTCACTTCTAAAATAGTAAAAAAAACACCATTAACAGTCTGAAGCGTATTATAGTAGATAACAAACTTTATGGCGGAACCATCCACCCGAAATTCTGTATCATCTTCCTTAATCCATTTTATTTCTGCGTCATCACCGTTTTCTAATTGACAACACAATTGTGCAGATTCCGTATCGATACCGAATATATCACTTAAGGGTTTAACAAACTTCATTGCTTCCTCATTAGCATTATCTAGAAGTTTATATTATAGCATATAACGCTAGCATAAAATTCGCATTAAGCCGATTTATACCTTTGACAGTTAATTTACACAAACAGCTATCTTCTCCTGCGCTATTCACCGCCTTGCAGATATATGTTCCATCGTCATCCGGATAAATTTCGGTGATAATTAAAGTGGCACGACCATCTTCAAAAACTTGTTTGAAATCTTTTGAATTTTCTAAGAGTTGTTCTCCGAAATACCATGTGATTGTTGGTTGTGGATTACCTAACAAAAACATCATTTATGACATAAAAACAACGACAAAAAACAAAAAAAATTTAGTTACCGGAAACGCAGCAAGATAATTCAACGTTCTGTTCATGATCATTAGCTGTCAAATCCTGTAATTTAGATGAAAACTTCGGCTTTTGTTCGGCTTGTTGACTTCTACTTCGTCGGCTTCTTTTTACTAGTGTGAAAAAAGGAAAGTGTTAGGCATATGCAAATAAGGTCTACAATTGTCAACACTTACTATATAAATCTAAATTAGCCTTGGCTTCAACGGATCCTACAGTATTTGTTACTTTAACCCTGTATACCCCTCTGTCAGTCTCTTCTGTATTTACTATTTCAAGAACCTCGTAATCGGCGACTTGGTATACCTGTTATTCCAAATTGATTATAATCTTGATAGATGTTTCAAAGTTGAAATCAAAACAGACCATAAACTTATAACTGGCTCCAATTTCTCGGCCGTTTGGCGCAAACCATTGCACACTAGGTTTCGGATTGCCTTGAACCGATACTTTAAATTTTGCATTCTCCGATAGAGCAACGCTTTGATCTTGAAGACCTTCTATAATCATTGGTAAGGATCTAAAGAGTACATAGAAATATTAAAAATTTTCAACTCTTTTTTTCAAGCACAAACCCATTTGTTGAATGAGAAAGCATTTTATTCGCTTGAATGGTTCTAGCTTCAAATTTCGAAGATTTTCCGTTTAAAGCTAAAGTGAAAAAAATTGCACTTATTCAAAGGTAAAAAGTAAAACTATCTTCAAAGAGATTAAGTAAAAATTGAAATGTAATTGATATAAGTTTTTCCCATGCTTAGCAAAAACACACAAACGCAAAAATTTAAGTCGCTTGTTCTCTCTTTTCCAGTTTATTCTTTGTAAGCTATACAAATATCCTTGAATTTAAAAAAACACATATTAAACAAACTAACGTTAATTGAATTTGTTGAAGATTGTAAAAGTTGGAACGCTAATATTTCGAATTCATCAACGTATTCTCCGATGACGTTTGACCCGGGTTAAGTAAAATTTAATGACATTTAACCATTGGCAATTAAAACCTGCTCTTCGGCGACATTACACAGACAAAACAGTCATATTCCCATTTTCAGCCGTTAAAAACCTTTCAATAACACTATTATGCTTACCTGAGATATTTCAATAGAAGCTGAGCGAAAAAATAGTGCAGCTTTGGCCAACACTTTTACTACAAATATTACAATACGAAAAAAAGTAGTCGATTTGAATACGCCTAGGAAGTAAAGTAGCTAATCGACTGGTCCTATTCGGTTATCATCACGTACTGGTTTTATTGATGATTATTAAGTAGATTACAAAAAAATTGTTAGGTAAATTCCGAAGAGCAAA